AGATGATATGTCAATATATAAAATATCTATATATTATGGCCAATAGCCTTGCAACAGTTACAAGAGTCTGATGCTCTACAAGGTCTGCAGTCAATTGAAAATACAAAAATGTTGACAATTATGAGGCAAAAGATGGATTGTCCAAAGAATTATCATGTAAGGTTTGGCCAGAGTTTCGCCACAGGGTGTCAATCCTTGTAATATGTTACCAATTAATGCTGGAGTAGCCTCGGTATCAAGTGGGTACTGTCAAGATACACAGAAATGCAAGAAATGTTGACTATGTAGAACACCATGTGTGCCAGATAGGAAACCATTAGGCAATGCTCTCACACAAGCATGATTCTCAACACTAGTGTTTCTCTAGGTGTCACCATATACCCCTAGTCACAAAAATAAAAAAAAAAAGATTTTTCTATATGTGAATTATGGCAAAAACTGGCAGAAACATTCACATGAGAAAATGCCCACAGTTCATTTCATCTGATGGACAAATAAGGAGTATATTAACTTAAAGTGGAATTAATTTGGATTACCTAATTCATATTTACTCCAAATTTGTCATTTCAGATTTTGAATTAAACTTTAAATGAGGGGTGGTAAAAAAAATAAATTGTAAGAGAAAGGCATTTCTGACTTTTAATAGACACATAGGGAGATTAGTAAGAGCATTAGGGTATCCATTTCTCATGTGTGAGTCTACATCTGCAGCCAATAATTTGTTTATGTCGAAAAAACTAGAAATCTTGTAAAACATATAATGACAGTATTTCATTCTCCCTTTTTCAACACTTATACAAGAGTCATAATTAACACTGATTTGAAGCTGAAAACCATAATTATTTTCATGATTGTTTTAAAATGCTTGATATATTCAAATTTAAATTGAATTAGAATAGAATTTTAAACAAACAAAAAAAGTAAAAAAAAAAAAAGTTATTTCATTTTAAGACCAATTTGATAAAGAAAAGGAATATTTTTTTGTGGAAATTAAGCTTCAAAGTTAACATCAACATTGTCCTGAGTGTATAAATTTCCAAATCACAATCAAATCTATAAACCAGAGTAAATGCCTGGATATATCATGTCACAAAGTGATACCATACATAACATTAGGGAGATTTCCTCATTAATTTTAAGTATTCCAAACATACTGATACTATGTATTGATTTCTACTGTAGATTTTAACATTTAAAGTAGACCAAGCTCCAAAACAAAACATTAAACAGGCAATGAGGGACCAGATAACCTAGACACTGTGCTAATGAGAAAATCCTTATCAAAGTACACAGTAATTTGCTGTTGACAAAAAGACTTTGTACGAGTCCAAGTATTAGTGGTGAGACTAGAACATATTACCTACAACTACCTTGTGTGTCATCAGGTGCAAACTTGGAAATCTACACTCGGCACTACCTTGAAATCGTATTGAAAACATTTCAAAAGAAACTAACTCGTAATTCTAAACTACAGTACTATCGTGTATTTTGTAACAAGCCCAAAACAGCATGGAGTCATTCATCCAGGTATATTTCAGTGTTAAACTCAAAAGAAAGAGACAGCAAAAAAGTTTTCTGTGCATTTATGTCTACATCTTTTGTTATTTCAGAACAAGAAAATCTGAACTTGTCATAAATGTATAATTTTTTTTATAGATTAAAGCAGATTTCATTCTCTAGGCCAAACCAAATTATTTGTGTGCTTCTGGTTTCAAAAATTTTCAACCTAATGTAAAAGCTTTTTTTTATGACTTGAAAATACTAATACCTATTTCTAGAAATATTTGGCCTTGCTGTAAAAACAGTTATTATAATTGACATGTTACCCCATTACCTATCAATAATGAGAATGAGTGACAGGACCGGATATCTGTTCCAATACTTTCGCACTAACATTCCTACATTAAAACGTTAGCTGTACACCTACTTCATACGACCATAAAACCCATTAAAATATCCATGATTTATGACTGTGTTTGATCTCTGTATTGACAAACATCACATCTATACATCACTCGTCAAAGTTCGGCCCTGACACCAACTGAGTTTCATTATTTTTGTTTATTATTACCGTGATAAATTTGAATTTTCTAATAACAAAATTTAAATCCCAAACATTCTTCTTTACAGGGGGAAGTAAAATATCATACACTTTACAAAGAAAAGCAGAAAATGATCCTACATCTCAAATTGCAACATGGTGCCATAATTTCTAACCTGGCTTTGTTAGGGTCCATTATGGTAGGTGAGCTAGTACATTTGAGTAAAGGCAATCTATTGTTAAATTATTGTTCAATTGGAAATGAATATTACGCAATAGACATTTCTCTCTTGATAGCAACGTGACAACAGACCATAGAAAATCTTTATATTTAGTTGTGAACGATCCCAAATACTGACAGCTACCATTGGTGTCAGTTTCTGATCAACAGTTTGTATTCCTGTCCTCACAGTATTGAAATAACAAATGTAAACTGTACTTGTATTTCCTGTTGTATTTACATATTAGATTTGCAGACTTGTTCCAAAACAAGCACACAAACAAAAAACAAAATAAAAAAACAAAGCAAAAGAAAATTAACAAATGGTAAATTCAAAACAAAATATGAAGTAGCTGATGAGTACCTCACTGAACAACATATGGGAGGCCCATCGCTTGTCATCAAGACCAATAGCAGTAAAGAGACCTGCCCAAGGACAAAACCTTGACAGTCCAGAACAGATAAATTCTCAGCTTCCTGAGAAATACAAATAGTCACAGTCGGGAATGTTGAACCAAGCACCTTGGATCTCCAATGACTGATTAGGTTGATTCTATCTCAGCCCATGTGGTCACAATAAAGCATAGGCAAAATTGAAATGGAAGTACAAAGTTAATTCAACAAATGTTTTGTGCTCCTGATAAACATTTTCAACTCATAACTTCAATATTATCTAGATCATTCTTCCACATTTTACTTGTTCAACAAGGGGCTTGTTGAAATCTTTTTCGTAACTTTAATAATATTATAAAAATCTTTGATCAAATGAATGCTGAAATGATAAACTGTCGGATGTTGCTAGTGTTTTTGTAACATGATATCTATAAAGTATTGAAGTGAATGAAGTAGCATACCCATTCATTGATTTTTATCACCAATCAACATACCACTAATATCGTCACAACATCAAGCAAATTACAGTAGGAAGGGAGGTAACTCCTAAATACAAATAAGATTTGATTATACTGTTCAATTTGTGATCTTAACTGAAAAATAGTATGTGCATGTTATTTGAAGCATTGTTCCTAAGGTTTTGTTTTACCTAACAGATACTTATTTTCCCTAATTCAATACTTAAACAGGTCTTTTTATTGGAAGAGAGAAAATAACTGTTTAATGTTGATAAATTCACATGACAGTGATGTTTCATGAAACACATCTTAATTATTTTGTTTATTGTTTTTGGTTTTGTTTGCTGGGTTTATCACAGCTTGAACTGCCACAGATATTTTCAGATTTAGCCTCCTTGTAGTAGCTGGATGTCACCTTACTGAACAACATATGGGAAATCCATTGCATGACAGAAAAATTTGATAACTCGTTAAACAATTGTGCTTTTGATAACTGAGCAAAGAAAGATAACTCTTGTATACTGCCAGAACTATATAAAACTAGGTGTCACTGGACTGTATGTATTTTCTGATTGACATCTTCTGTTATACTGAGAAACTATTGCACCGACCACAAATCCTGTTGTCATTTGTAGGCAACTAGAACTGCCAATTAATTCCTTATTCCTCTTTTTAATGACATGCATCACAATCTTATTCAAGCTAGATCTAAATTTCACTCCATACAGGTACAAAGTACGCTACGTTTTAAGAAACATGTTGTGTACTAGTAGTGAAATTTAGATCTGGTCTCAATGAAAGTGCACAAAACACTAATATTATGTTTTCAAGTTGTGTCTATTTTAAACGTTTAAGAGGAAAAATGATATTTTATCTCTGTATTACTTTTTACCTAAACACTATGAACTCAATTTATCATGGAAATCTAATATTTTTTTGTATTTTACCTTAGACTGGTCTACCTATCAACTAACGACTAGCACGTGAACACTGTTAACAGTGATTTAAAAATAATTAAGTGACAGTCCAAAGTGTAAATGTTGTTTTTGTATTCCATTTAGACTAGGTAAAGTCAAGTACATTACTTTTTAATAATAAATTCAACAGATTGGGGAAAGGCATTTAAACCTAATATGTAAGATAAAGGCCTAAATGTGCATCAATAGATATAGTGGAATGAAAGTGATGCAGTAGCATATATCACAGTAAGTTTGGAATCTGTACATTTTCTGAAATTGCTATCTACGTTTTTCACACATCATTAATATTCAGAGATTTTTTATCCGAAACTCCAAATTCACCCAATCTGACATATTGAGCTGTCAACATTTCTTTTTAAATTTCCACTTCCTCTTAAAATACCACTGTATTGAGAATTAGACCTTATTATATACTGTTAGATATTTCAAAATGTCAGGAATAGACACTGTTTGTTTTTTTTTCATTGGTTAATAGATACCAACCAGTTTTGCTGTCAGATGACTTCGTAAGTACTGAATTTGTAAAATTGACTGGTTTGACAACAGTATTAATTAGTTAGTATATTGTAGTATTACCAATAAACAACATTAATCACAAGTTTTATTTATTTTTGCTTTATGTCCTTTTAACAGCCAAGGCTCATTTAAGGGTGTGCCAGGTTTTGGTAGTAGAGGGAAAAGCTGAATTCCCAGAGAAAGAAAACACCAACCTGTGTCCAGTACCTGGTAATTGCCCCACACAGGCCTCAAACTCATGACTTAAAGGTGATGGGCTGGTGATGAAGACTGTTAGATGCCTTAACCACTTGGCTACCATGGCCCCTACTAATCGCAACATCTGAATTCTTCAGTGATATTCAAAACAAACATTTAATAGCCTTTATAAGAAATAAAAGTAAAATACATACTGTTTGTCCTTTGTGAGGGCCATACAGGATTTTTGGAGTTTTGCTTTGAGCATGAGCCATTAGAGACTGTCGGAATTCCTGCATTACACTGTGTTGAGCCCATTTACTCCTCAAGCGCTTGGTAGACCTCTGAAAGCCAAGTCATCAATCAGATTTTAGTGGCAATCCTAGGAAGAATACATAATGACCAGAAATAAAGACCATCAGATTTGATGTATCCCTTTTAGCACTAAACACAACAATAATTTCATCATTCATGAAATCAATCTACACCAAAGGTGGGCTCAACATATATGGGAATTTAACATTAGCATCGGCCCCCACTTGGAATTTCAAAACATGATAACCATAAACAGATATGGGTTTCAGAAGCTTAAATACGGAAAAGTTAATCTTGGAATTGATTTCTTATAGAATGGGAGCTCCTTGACTAACACCTTGGTTGGTGTTAAAATAGTTGTTATGTAATTCCTTCTAGTGCATTATTATGAGGCAATACCAATAAAATTATGTCATTAATGTGTGCACATTTTATCAACCAACATTTTGATACCACATATCACACTATTTCAGGAGAAACATTTCTTTTATGTTGAAAAAAGCAGCCAAAAATCATATAAAAAGCCATTACTTTTGAGAAAAGTACTGTTTTGATCACTTCAATTTTCATACTTCCAAACCAGTCTATTTTTCATACATGCGTAAAAGTTGGCCACAGATGATATCTTTCAAAAGGAGGATTCTTGGAAAAAATGAAAACTGGAAAATTTGTCATTTTACACATTTGCTTAAAAAAACCAAGAAACACTGATTTTTTTTTCATTTTCGTTAAATAGTGACAGCTTATTTGCTATTTGACAAGGTGGTTGTTCATGTCAATTTGTATCAGTTTGGTTAACATTGCTGAACTTGATCTCTGTTCAAGGTCACACAAATGAAATTTGTTAAAATAAAGACATTTTTGTTCAAGTTTCACAATATGAAGATTTAGTTAGCAGCTTTTTACAAATGTTTTGATGAAGGTCAATAAAGTGACCTTATTAGATAGATTATGTACAGTAATAGTGACGGGTTTTGCCTTTGTCAGTTCCAATCCATAATTTGTGGCACTTTGAGAAACTAATAAGAGATAGAACAGTTGCAGTTTGCAGCACATTACATTGTGTTTTAGTATAGCAGAACTGCTCAAGTGATTGCTTGTTTGAACTTGAGTGTTGCATGGACTGGGTTAGTTTGATCTTGATGCTGAACATGGCCCAAGAAATACAAAATGCATGCAACATGTACACACATTCCAATGGTTCACTTGCCCGCTGGATGCACAGCAGTAATCTTTGACAGGGTCATCGTGATCATTTCTGTCAGATGCAATCCAAACATTGTATTTTGACTGTGATTTGTGCCTTGAATGGATTTGGCCTCGGAGAAGATTTTCATCATGCTGATAGACCCAAACTTCAAATTCTCCAGCAGGAGTCAGATGCTCAGCAATATATCTGGGTGCTACTTTCCAACTGATATGATCCGCAGGTCACTGTTTCTAAATATTCCATATCAAGTGCTGGAAACTCTATTGAACAGGCATCAAGTTTCACCCAGTTGGCCTTGTTGCGCCTAGAAAGGTCAGGTTCATCTGCAACCCTTGAGGCCAAGGTGTTGGGCAGAGCCAAACGGGATTGCATTCGCTCAGCAAGGTGGCGGTCCCTCAAGTCCCTCTCTGGTGTGGACACAAATTGTTCCACGTACAGCATTCATGGAAGCAGTAGCTACTTTAACCAGTTCTTCTATGACACTAAGGAAGTAGTTTAAGCTGAGTTGTTCTCTGAACAGTTTCCACTGTTTCAGTTGACTATGGTAGCTCTCCACAACCCATCTTGACTTAGTACACTGGCAGTCCTCGTTGGCAGTAAGTGTATTATGCTGCGTCAGACCTGAGAGCAAATAGGAAGGCATGTACACAGAAAACCCTGAACCTCGCAGCAGCTCCAACACATCTCTAAACCCCCAGTCAACAATCACATTGTCATCTTCTTTGAGCCACAAGGCCAGTTTCTCAACTGTTCCAAGAATTTTTGTCAAGATATTTGCATCATTATCATTGTCATAAAAAGGCCCATTAGTGTCTAGCACATAACCATCTGGAAAGACAATGCTCATGAATTTAACATGGTTGCGCTTCTTTTGCCCACACTATGAGGATCTTTGAACAGGGTGATCAGCACTCTTTTGGATATAAATATAGGTACCATCAAGGATTACAGTTACTTTGTCCCCATAGAAACATCTTGTAAAGGAAGTGTTATGGCACTTAGCGTCCTCGCGGGTAATGTGTCTAGGACCAAGGAAACGAGGCACAATGGTCTGGCTCAAGGCTTTTAAGACACTATGAAATGTGTGAGACACATATTTTTTTTTTGTCAGACCACACAAGACACCAAGTTGCGACCATGAAATACTGGTCTTCAGTTTAACCAAGAAAAGAAACAAAGCATGGAATGTAGAGGAACATGATCCTCTATTGATGTGTGAGGAGTAAATGTTATGGATTGGCTGCATTTGTTCAAGTGTGTAACCAGTCCATTCTTTGAATTCTTCATGGGAGTACCAGCAGAAAGGAAATGGCTTAGTTCAAGAAGGTCATTGATAACCTGATTAGCTCTTTCTTGAAGCAGATCTAGTGGCAAAGAAGGATTCAGAAAGCCACCAATTACATGGTCATTGCAAACATGACCATCAGGGGGACACCATAGAAAATGGAAAAATATCAAGTTTGTCCTGGCACGCTGGGGTATAGTGCATAGCCCAGTGCCCTCTTTTTCACATGACACATCTTTTATGTGAATTGCCACCAGAAAATAATTTCTCAACAGATATTAGTGGTAGTTGGTTGGATGACATGAAATCGGTGTAAGCATCATCTGCATCATTCGCCGGGTCATCTGAAGTGCTCATACAAGAAGGTTCATACAATTCAGACTGCAATGTCCTTTGCTTGAGGTACCGCTTGTAGCACTTTCCACATAATATGCTTTCTTCTGTTATGTTAATGATCTAAGCAGTCAGCAGCTGGTGCAGCCAGTTATTCTGAGGTAAATATACATGTCCTACTTGAGCTCGGGCTCCTTGAGATAAATCTTTCAACCTGGTTTTGCAACCACGACCTATGCACACGTCTGACATGATTATTAGTAAACTTGATGAGAGATTTGCAGTAATTTGAATTTAATACAGAATGTCTGACTTAAGTGTAACTTTGTCTATGTAATTGTCTATAGATACTTAGCCTTAGCAAAAATGGTATCAATACTTTATAGTAATACCTTTACATGTTTCAGGAAATTAACGTACTTGCACATGCAGGTGTCAGACAAGGTTATCATTTCTGGCCTCATTTATTAATTATTAATTAGAATATCTAACTAATTTATATCAATTATTTTTATGTTTAATGATAAAAGAAGAAAAGTAGAATGACAATAATATGTTATCAGTAATACTGGTTATTTAATCATTGTTAAGTTTTTATAATAAAAACTAAACTGTCAGTTGTTCTTTAGAGGATAGATTTCTAGTTCAGAAAACACCATGTTAAGTTATACCTACTGAATTTAATTTTGTAACAAATATAAAATACTTAATGTGCTTTGGTTCTACACAAAACTGGAAAATATAGCAGTATTTGGCACAAAAAACAACGAAAATTAAATCTTCATGATTAAATTGCTAAAAATATATTTCACCAGTTTTGAAATCACTTATTCAACAGACAGCATATATACGTAGCAAGTTTTTAAAGAAGTATGAAACATAGACTGAGATGGCAACTATACAAAATGAACTTGACAAACTTTGATATATTCTTTATTTTGTGAAAATTTTGCATTTTTTTTTTAAATAAAAGTTATCAATATGCTTACATTTTTTATGCCAATATAACATATGTGGTACCAAAATAACAGACATTTTATGTACTTCAGGCTGGTATATAAATATTTTCATTTAAAATTCTCATGTAGCAAGTATTTGTCATCATGTTAGGGTACCTTTGTCACTCAACCTGGTGTTATACAAGAAGGTCCAGTATGACTATAAGTAGTTATAATGACTAATCATTTATGCAGTTGTAGGTTAAATTTTAGTATCTACATATAGCAAAAAAATAATAGAAATCTATGTGGGACCAAATGTTGATCAAAATCTGTTTAGCTATTCCAGACTATTAGTCTTTTTAAATGAAACCTTGACAAAGAGGCAACAAACAACAAGTATAGGTGTGACAGAGCATTTGTGTATCTTGTCATATGATGCTTTTTTAAAAGGTCTTTCTGACCATCTATATTTTACATAATAAATCTTCAAATGATGAATGTGGTTTTAATTAGAAGTTTAAGTAAAGAAAATAAAAACAATTCACTTGGAAATATGCCAATCTGATTTTTTCATAATTCTCCATCTTACCAGGTCAGCCAATTGGAAGGATCCGTAGAGTCCACGGTCTGGATCAAAGTCTGCCAGATTGATGACCACCTGACCCAGTGACTCATTCCCACTTTCCTTGTCCTCATCAACAGCATGAAAAATCACTTGTCTGTTAAATATTCACAACAATATACAGGTTACATAAACACTGGTCAGAAAACAAGTCACAGTAACAAGAAAGACAGCCAATCATTTTCAATATTTTTTATATACAACAAAACTATAGGTCTGTTTTTTTATTTCAAATCACACTTTGTTCAGGCATGACTGAAACAACTCGTCAGATTAAATATTCCTATTATTTATGAAACATATCTGGTAAAGATTTTATGAAAAACAGGAGGTAGGAATTTCCAAAAACCACCTTTTCATGAAAATAAGACATTTCTTCACAATGTATTACATAATTACCTCATTTTAAACTCTTCTTTAGCCACCTCAAATTCAAAGCTTTCCTCCCATTCAGGATCCAATGTCTGTCTTCTAACCTAAAAATGTTCATAAGAGATAAGTTACCAGCCTGACTACAAATAACTTTGGCCTGAAATATTAGTGGAAACATTGAGAATTACAATCAAACAGACACACGGCCATGGATTACAATACTTGTTATTTTAGGAAGAATGTTCCACAGTCTAAAACATCATACTAAGTAATCAAGGAATCTTTAAGTGATACATGTCCTCTGTCATCTTGTTATGAAAAATTTTATCTACTGATATATATTTTTGTAAAACCTATACAGATATGTTCGAAATTAAGTTAAAGATCAGACATGTATTTAAAAAAAAACTTGGCCAATTTAGGCTTAGTAAATGGCCATGGTGTTGAAACATGACATCACCTGTAGCTAATCATGGATATAACTGATAATAGATTTTTTTTAAATATTGAAAGTTTTTCTAAATTCATAGCTGGCAAAAATCATTATGATTAGACTTTTCAGATCTTGTGTCCTTGACCATAAGGAATGAAAATTGAGATCAGAATCTGTATGGTGATAGCCCTAGTATATTCCCGTGACATGTAAGAAATTTACTAACATGAGTCTGAAAAAACTTCTTTGTTCCTGGAATATTCATCTTGACAAAAACATCAGCTGGTTTACCATCTGACCTGGGAGGAAGGTTAGATGCCCTGTGGACAGTCACCCAAAGACTGCTTGGCAGTTGGTAGGCAAGTGTGATATCAAGGTTTCCACCCACAGTAAAGTCAGTCTAAAGAAGAAAACAAACAGGCAACATTTGTTATTTTAAATGATAAAACAGCATATCCTTAAACTTATCACTTCATATTTTTTGCAGAAAACAATTTATTGTACTAGGGACAGAACCTCTGAAAACACAACCAACAGGATCGATATGTTTTCATTGACTGTAATCAAACATGACTTTATATATTTGTGATAAACCTATTCATGATATTGCTTTTATATCAAACATAGGACTGTGAGAGGTGAAATATTGTTTGCTTTGCAAAGACAATGCATAATTTATATAGACACAAAAATCAACTTTATTTAAAACATGCTGAGATTTTTTTAGGAAGGTGTTACCTCAGTTGCCAGCATGTACCAAGCTGTGTGGGTTGGGCTTTCCTTAAAGTTGAAGGAGTTGAGATCTATGATGACCTGCCCAAGGTTGTCATCCTGACCAGTGATATCGTCATCCAGCACATCAATGATCATTTTCAAACTTACTAACTCCAGTTCATCAAGAGGAAATGCAAAAATCTCGTCAAATCTTGGTTCATTATTGCCCCTAACTATAGCTGTTCTTTTTGCCTCCATACCATCCTCATCCGGCATCAGAACCATCTGTTTACACAGACAACATTCAACATTAACATTTGGTCCTTCTATTTATTGCAAAACTTTATTTTTTTCAAGCGGTTTTATTTTTCACTACTTTTGTGGAATGAAATTGTGAAATCCTTGAAAATATCACCACTAGTGAAATTGAGTCTGTTTTCATGAAAAAGGAAACCTAGCTGTTGCCCTGAGCTGTTGCTTACTGATAATCTGCATAATTGTTAACCATAAAAAAATATTAAACAAAACAAAAATAAAAAAAAAACAAAAGAAATAAAATAAAAACAACTTAAAACTCATATCCACGGAAACTAAATCTTTCCTTTTTTTCTTCTCGGGTTTTTCTTAAAACAAATTCACTGAAAATTGATATTGCTTTATTGTTAAATTAGTAAATTTTAAATGAGGTATGAATTTATCCACGAAATAAATTGTATACAAAATGGTACATTTCTTTTAAACCAAGAAAATTCAGCCCCTCAAAAATGACATGATTTTGCAGTATACATGTATGCAAAAGTCTCAGCTCATATCAACAAAAATTAAATTACTTATTTCCTGTCATTTATAAAACTCTGGAGTAACAAATAACTTACTCTGACGTAGGGATCAGGCATTTTGGAGCGCAGATCCCTCATCCGTAAATCACGACATTTGATGACCTTCACCAGAAGGAGGCTACGTTTGAAGTCATACTTAAATGAAAGTTGTATTTCGCCTCTGACATCCTGTGTTACTTTCATCATCGTTGGATCTAGCGTCTTGTACAACCCTTTGAGTAACTGTGTATTTTTCTGAAGAGTAATAGACATATAACATTGTCAATTCTAAATTCATTGATTGGAAAATAATGAATGCTCACATTACTGGACAAAAATATACAAAGAAACTCAGGCATGACAGGTTTGGTTGAATCAGTTACAACATAAAGCATTGAAATTCTATTGAAGCAATACACAAATTTTAGTTTGGTAATTTTTAAAACCCAATATATTACACAGATGCAGATCAAAGATATGTTTATTTTGATGTGATAAGTATATTCTAATTGCTTCCTTGTGATACAGATCCAAAACTGAAGTTTTAATCACGCCAGTCAAGTGATATTTTGTTAGCCCTAGGTATTTCCAGTCTATAAAATTGGTAGTCTGCTACCAGGGAATTTCAGGTGTTGGTTCATTCTTCTATTGGTAGTAAATGTTGTAACAATGGCAATAAAGATGAAAGATATTATCACATATCATGCACGTTTCTTTCTCAAAGCTCCTAAGTTTCTTACTCAGACCTTTAACTGCTAGTGTTACAGTTCATCACCTTAAAGGCTCATCTATTCAAGAATGTGTTAAAAATTTGTGACATACTTTCAGTACAGTAAATTTTTGGTCAGTTTGAACAAAATCAGATAAATATTGTTGAACTTGTTTGAATATTTCAAACTTATGGTTGTAAAAAAGAGTTGGAGTTTGAAGTTAGTATCAACATCACCCAAAATGACAACAATATATTTAAAGGTCATAGGTATTTTTGAAGTGAATGTGGGTTTTTTTTATTCTGTATGATACGTTAATGGAGAATAAACCATTTTTTACAACATCCATGAGATGCGTGATTTCAAAATGCAAAATAACAGCTCCCAAAGTTTTGCTTTACAAAGTCAGCTTCATCGCATTCATTTTCACAAGTACCTGTAGGCATCATTTGAATAATTCAAATTGTAAGTGCAACAATAGAAGGAAGTGTTAACTATCACTAAACAAATTTTTTGTTTGTTTCTGTTGGAAAACTTTCAGGGTATTGGAACTGATCAAACGTTTACTGTACAAACAAATTATCTTAAAATTAATATATGTAGAATAAACTGAAACAAATGAATCAGTGAAACAGATGAATGCTCCCCAAAAACAACTTTATAGGAAACCAAATTTTAAAGGTTATTAATTCTTTCTTCGGAGGTTTTGACCCTGAGTTACGGTAACTGCACATCTTCTTAGTCTTCTTAGTATGACCAATGTTTATACAAAGTTTCATATCCCAGTTTCAAAGAAAATTAACAAAGGACGATAACTCTGCAGCTTTCAAGAGGTTGACAGGCACTGGATTTTGAACACTACATGCACATCCTCATAGAATGTATACAACAAGCTTAATTTTCCTAATTTTAATGCAGGCAAACTTAAGCTGCGGAAACAAAATTTTGATAAATGGCAATGACTTTGAAATTTGGGAGTGGCAGGCCCTGAATTTATTTGGTACACAGCACATCGCCTTAGTATGATCAATGTATCAAACAAATTTCATCATCCAAGTTATTTAACAAAGGGCAATAACCTTTTTAATTAAAGGGTTGTGGACCCTGACATTGGTACACTGCACATGGTCTTAGTATGACCAATGTATCAACCAAGTTTTATTATTCTAGTTTAAATGCAAGAAAAATTGTGCTCCTGACAGGAAATTTTACTAAAGGACAACAACAATAATTTTGAGATGTTGCACTTCAGTTGTAATCCTGATATCAGCATATGTTTATCTAAGACTGGAAGAAGCTAAGGCTAAACAAATTTCCGGAGGTAAAAACTAGTCATGAAACTGAATTGGTACGGCTAACTTGAAGGCAGTTCCTACGGTGTACTGATCTTACTATTAGTCAAGCCAGAAGGCCAACATACACATCTTGACTTAAAAGTCAAGAGGTGTGCTTATTTCAGGACAATAAAATATGTTTTTAATTTTTAATTCTAATGAGTTAAAATGGATATGGTTAGATGTATTAGCATGCATAAAATTATGGCCATACAAATATAATTTAAATGAATTGATTGCAGTTGCCTCCTTTTTCCATAAGGAAATTGATCTCTCCTAAATTTATATATATTTTTATCTATTTTACAAAACAATCTATCCAATTTTTACTGATCACTCTAGTTGGCCAGAAGGAAGTGCACAATGGGTCTTACTGTAGGAGGAAATCAGAGTGTCAATTGGAAAATCCATAATTGATACATGAAAAGAGAGTGTATCGATTCCATTTAGTGAATCAGTTAAATTTTTCATACTTTTTCAAATAAATGTTTATCTTAATAAACTGTTGTGTGCAAGTGTGTGACCAGGTCAGCTTCTAGGAAAATCATCTGAATAATAGACAATTTCATTTATTAAGTCCACTGTGATTACAGTGCATACCATGTTTTCATCATGTATGTCCCAGCCTTTGACAGCAACAGTCTGGTTATGGTCTGCCTTTGCTGTCATCAAGCGTGATAATCCATAGATTTTTTGTGGATTTTGATGAACTCTGCCTTCCTCCACATCTTTTGATGTGGATTGCGAATGATTGCCACCCATGTTTTGATAACTAGCACAAACCTGGCAAAACAAATACAGAAAATAAATGAATAAAAGTTAAAAGAACATGTGCATTCAATACAAACATATTTAATGAGGAGCAGTCTTTTATCATTATTAAAAATACTTTTTACTTTTTACTCTGACAATGCAAAATCTTGGAGCTGGTAATCCAAATATCTACTGTTGGAATCATATTTCAAATATGACTTTTTAAAAAAATTTATAATGTATCCTTGGAGCGTTAGTTTCAGATGCCTAAACTTGATAATCCTATCTTGACAGCAATGCTATGTCTGTGATTTGTATAAATGTATTGAAATATATTTGTACTATGAAAATTATTCAATAAACGCCAGTTGTTTTTTCAGAAAGCTATCCACAAAGAAAATCTCAAATTTGGTAACCTGAAATGGCAGACACATATATTAGAAATGTCTACACTTCCATATCTATTTCCATTTCCTCACCGAATCACAGAAAAGCTTTACAGTGGCCTTGAAGTATACAGATATTACATAAAATTATCAGATGAACAAGAGTGATATTTTGGTGAAATAAAAAAACAACAAAATAATGGTACAAAAATGGTGGATATCTTTGTTTATCTGTACACCTTTTCTAAAGAGTTGGATTCAAGTTTTTATAATTTGGTTCTTTTTTGTCAAATGAGCCATATTTCTTGGTAAACTTCTCTTTTAATAACACTAAGTATTCAAATAAAGTTGATTTTTCATCTGTTCAGTTTACAATTCACTAGTTAATTAAAATCAGGGATGAGTCGTCAAAAGTGATAATTTGAAAAAAAACAAACAAACATGTTTCCGATAAAAGAAGTGCATGTTTTGACTTTCTTAGAAGACGACAACAAGACGCTGGAATCTGAGGATGGATTATTGGTTATTTCATCATATTTGGGAGTATATTTGATTTGTGAAAAAGAGTATTAAGAAAAAAATACATAAATTTCCCAATGAAATATTAGCATGGAATATTTTATGGTGAATGGCTTTAATCACTATTTCTCTTTCCTTCTGGAAGCGTGACATCTTACAGCAACCAAAGTTATCCTGATGCAAGGTCACGCAGGTCAATAGTGCATGTGATACACCTCGACAAAATGCCCGTTCCGAAATACATAACGGTCCGAAACGGATGTCCTGACGATACATCATTATTGACGGAATTGTAAAAATGAATCCTAATCCAAAATTCAAACGTTACAAAGCCATATTAAACCTCTAACTCTCTTAGCTTATTTTCTCATAGATAGTTTTCGATGTGTTTAGGTCCGTGCCTATGAACGGTTGATATATCACCAATATAAAAACTTCGATCACCAACTTCGTCGTTTGTTCTGCTATTAACATGACACAACATACAATTTCTTATGAAAAGTATTATCAAATTGTAAGAAGATTTTGACAATTGTATTTCTTCGCCGTATATGACACACAAATTTAACGCAAATTCTAACATATTGTCGGTTTACTCAGCATTTAAACTTACACACAACCGAGCACCTGTCAATCATTTGATGGAAGCCATTACAGTTTACCTTAGTGACGTCAGAGCGCCATCTTGAGGGATTGTTTGATTTATCTATTATATCGATTAAAATTAGTATTTGTCTTGTAATTCATTTTCATTTTAAATTAGAAGTTAACTTTTGAAGAAAAGAGACCGTACAACACATAAAGTGATTTGTTAGTGTTTACGGTAAATCTCGCGGCGTGTCACGTGGCCCATCCTTTACACATCGACGACACGACTATCCGGCAGTAGGTTGCATCGCATGTGGTGCATTGAGTCGCAGTTTTCAGTTTAACTGCGCTAAACCTGTCTGGGAGATACACACTAACGTATCTGCCATCATGGGGAGTAAGTTCCTTTCGTATCATGTTGTTCGAATTGTCTTTGAAAATGTGTTGTTTCATTATCAAAATCTGGAAACCGGTTATGCCGGGTGATGCATACGTGGCTACTTTAATAGAATGTTATTGTACTACTGTCACGACTATGCAATATTTTCAGTTAATTGATTTACTAATAACTGTTTTTCTCTTTCAGTAAAATTTTTGGAATTCGTAAAGCCGTTTTGTGCAGTTCTCCCGGAAATCGCAAAGCCAGATAGAAAGGTACAAGTGTATTTTAAATCGCAATTATATTTAAATGTTGATGACGTACTAAAACCATTCACGAGGAAGTACATCAGGACTAGAATATTTTTATTTGTGATACTTTGTCAGTGGATTTGTATAAGAAATATTTTGTAAGTTCTTTGTATAGATAATATTTTGAATGTAATTAATTCGGAGTTTTCGGAGCTAAACTCTAGTACAAAAAGGCTAACATATTGTACATACAAAAGCTTTTCATACTGACGCAATATTTTGACATAGAGAATTGTAGAGTAATAATGTTTTCTTTTTCTTCAGATTCAATTCAAGGAAAAGGTGTTATGGACTGCCATCACTTTATTCATCTTTCTTGTGTGTTGTCAGGTAAGAGTATTTGAAAGTTTTCATTTTTTTTCTTTCCAATTTATAAGGCAAATGTTCCTTATCTTCTATAATTTATAAATTTGTAAGTGATAATATTGAAATATTTTTTATAAGATATGCTGGTTTATTGTAGATTCCCCTCTTTGGAATCATGTCCTCAGATTCGGCTGATCCGTTTTACTGGATGAGAGTCATTCTTGCTTCCAACAGAGGTAGTGTATAAATGAAGTTAAAAAAGTGATTAAGGAAAGAAGTGTTGAAGATATTTCAGTGTTTTTTGAAAATTGACAATAGTTTCACAGAGAGAGAAAAAGAAACGAAGCAAATAGATTATACTTATTATTCAAGGTACAGGTGTTGGTGGGCACTCAAAAGAGGTCTGAATTTCAAACTCTGTGGAATAAATACATTTTCTAATATTCATTAATGTAATATGTTTGTTGTTTTTCAATGACTGAAATTTCAACTTTATCTAGCGTTAGTCATCTTGAGAAAGAATGTCATTCAACAGATCTTTAGATACTAAACACAAATCTCAACAGAGGAATGAAGAGCAATAAGTATGTTAACATTTCAAGATGTATCTTTGGTCTTAATGTCAATAAATAGCTTAGGTTAAACTATTTGAATGCATTGTATGTGATGTATGGTGTATTTTTCTTTCTTCTTTTTAAAGGTACCTTGATGGAACTTGGTATTTCACCCATTGTAACATCAGGATTGATTATGCAGCTGTTAGCTGGAGCAAAGATCATTGAAGTTGGTGACACTCCAAAAGACCGAGCTCTCTTTAACGGAGCCCAGAAGTGTATGTTTTTACAAAAGTTCAGATCACTAGTATTTATTAACATGATTTAACAGATTCATGGGGCATTTAATTCATTCTGTTTATAAACATTATCCCCTCCTGGAATTCATTTAATCTTTCTGTATAAATTGAGTATGATTGTTTTCTTTGTAGTGTTATGTTAAATCTCCTTCGTTTTCAGTGTTTGGTATGGTGATCACAGTGGGACAAGCCATTGTTTATGTGATGACAGGAATGTATGGCGATCCATCTGATATTGGCATGGGGGTTTGCATGCTCATCATTATTCAAGTAAGTATCAGTTCAATCATTGTAAAATTGATGCAGCTTTTACTGCAACTTGGCCAAATAAGAATTACCTTTTCTCCCTGACCAGGAGAGATTTTACAATACTTGTCCACAGCTCTGCAGAAAAGTTTCAGAGAGAGTACTGTTTCTGTTTTACCTAAATGTATTTTGTATTGAAGAATAAAGTGATAAGTTGTAAATTGATGAGAATAATGTCAATGAATCATCTGCTATTTGCCTAGTCTTAACAAATATGGCTATTTTTATTTCATAGCTGTTCGTAGCTGGATTAATAGTGTTGCTGTTGGATGAATTGCTCCAAAAAGGATATGGTTTGGGCTCTGGTATCTCACTGTTTATTGCAACAAACATCTGTGAAACAATTGTATGGAAAGCATTCAGTCCTGCAACAGTAAACACTGGTAGAGGTGAGTTTTCAAGAATATCAAATGTTTTAGGTTCATTTCCTGTAAACAAGTTTCAGAACATTAAAATGTTTGTTCCATTCATTCATGTTTTTTTAATTAGACAGGGCTCTTGATCTGCCAGATATGGGGCCGATATTCGGCCCCATTCCCAATGCAAAATAGTATCTTTTTTTCCCAATTCAGACCCCAAGTTTTCCCAATTCTATGGAAAACACCATTATTTTTCCCGATTCAAAGGGCCACGGGTCCCAGTCCCAAAATGGGGTGTGAGAGCCCTGTTAATGAATTATGATGGCTTAAGATTAGAGAGGAGGAAGAGGAAGGATCAGTCAATCAATAGGTTAACATGTGAAATATTGATGTCTCTGAATGAATGGTGTATAAATGTCAAACATAATTAATCTTTGATCTCTATCTGTTTTTGCCTACAGGCACAGAATTTGAAGGAGCTGTGATTGCTTTGTGTCACCTATTGGCCACAAGAACTGACAAAGTCCGCGCCCTCAGGGAAGCTGTCAACAGACAGAATCTGCCTAACTTGATGAACCTTCTGGCTACTGTATTTGTATTTGGTGTTGTCATTTACTTCCAGGTTTGTATTCAGTTTTGGTTTATCCTGAAGGTGTCATATTTTCTTTAATTGGTCATTGAATTTTCCTAATGAAATAAAATGGATATAATTTTTTACATATATATGCACAATAAATTTTTTTATATTTTTAAAGTTTCATTTCTTTTTGGAAATCTACCAAATGGTATATGCGTAAAAAACATAATTTGAATATGATAAGAATGTTTTTTTTTCTGTTTATTTCAGGGATTCCGTGTGGACCTGCCTATCAAATCAGCTCGTTACCGTGGACAACAGAGCTCTTACCCAATCAAACTGTTCTACACTTCAAATATTCCCATTATCTTGCAGTCTGCTCTTGTATCCAATCTTTATGTCATCTCTCAGGTAATTTCTAAGCTATGTGATAAAATGTTAATCCTCGGTCTTGAATATTTTTGATCTTTGATTGCATTTGATAGTTCTGGATTATAAAGATATATTTTGCACAAAGAAGACCAGGTTTGATTAAATGGAATACTAATACAGCTGTACTTTGCTTTTATATTTCAGATGTTGGCCACAAAATTTAGCGGAAATTTCTTTGTGAATTTATTGGGCGTTTGGGCTGTAAGTATATTCCTATTATAAACATTTAAAAATACATGAATATGACATGAAAATATAGATATGTGGCTTATATTTTTTAATTGCAATGACAAATGCATTCACAAAGTTTGGATAGAACTCATGTTTATAGCTTTCTAAAAACGACACTGAAAAAAAGTCGACCTTGTCCCCTGTAATACATAATTATGTTTGATCACTAAAAACTTACTATTATGTTAAAGGATGTTGGCGGTGGCGGCCCAGCCAGGTCCTACCCTGTTGGAGGTCTGTGTTATTACTTATCTCCGCCAGAGACATTTTCACATATAGCAGAAGATCCTATACATGCAGTATTATACATCATCTTTATGTTGGGATCCTGCGCATTTTTCTCTAAGACATGGATTGATGTATCAGGATCAAGTGCAAAAGATGTAAGTGCCATCTAGCGAAAGCTTCACAATATCAGCAATTGAATCGCATGTAGTATATTTGATCGAAATTTCAGAAGTAATCAATGAGGAGAGGCCACTTATCAGCCTTCTTCAACTTTGATTGCCTTCTTTTTAATATTCAGGTTTTTGTATTTTAAAAAAGGGTGATTTGTACATTACTACTTTTATCAACCAAAGTTTTATAAGTCAGTAAATGCCTTAATTTTCAAGTTTTAAGATTCTATTCTCTTGTGTGTAATGAGTATAAATGTTTTACCTTGGAAATATTATTAAATAATTTTTTTTTCAGGTTGCTAAACAACTTAAAGACCAACAGATGGTCATGAGAGGTCATCGAGACAAGTCCATGATTCATGAGCTTAACAGATACATCCCAACAGCTGCTGCCTTTGGTGGTCTATGTATAGGAGCTCTATCTGTTCTGGCTGATTTCCTTGGTAAGTTTCAGAACCGTCCTATGTAGGTGAGGTAACCAAATATATTTTTTAAGATTAAGTCTTTTCCAAACACATTTTCTTTTAATTTACTTGAATAATTTACTTTTGATGCAAAAAAAATAAAGGAAAACTTTGGATGTAGGTAAGAGAGATATCAAAACAAATGTGGTGTTTTAAGCAACAAAGTACTTAACAGAATTAGAAGCTTTATTTAACTTCTCCCTGTTTTGTATTACAGGAGCCATTGGAAGTGGTACTGGAATCCTGCTGGCTGTCACCATTATTTATCAATACTTCGAAATTTTCGTGAAGGAGCAAAGTGAAATGGGAGGAATGAGCACACTGTTGTTCTAAGAAACTAAATTCATAATGTATTAAGTGATTCATAATGTGTCAAGCATCTACATGCTAAACATGTAGAGTGATGCTGCCATCGGAAAGCTGAGGGGTCATAATACTTTACTTCTTGTGTCAATCGATAGGATTGTGGCTCCATATTTAAACATTACATCCAGGATGACAAACATCTTGTACTTAAAGGATCTGCATTCTTATGCCGAAGATGGTTTTTAAAAAAAAGTTCATTTAACAAAGGCTTTTTGTCAGTTTTAAGACTTTAGTTAAAGCCAAATGTGATGAACAGAAAATAAAATTTTCAAGAAAGGCATTGGTAGTTTGGCAGCTTCAAGTAAATAATTGAAATAACAATGTTTCTTGGTTTTCAATTGCATGCATTTTGATAAATTGAAGTGATAAATCAGAAGTTTTCAATCATAAATATCTACATTAGGTAGAAACCTCAAGAAGTATTTCTGTTAAAATATTGAAGACATGTATATTATTGGTAGATTTTTTTAAAAACAAAATGAATTTAGTCATTTCATATTTATATTATTCATCAAGGACAACATAGAAATCTCTATCTCCTGTTTGCTCTGGGTTTTGGTCATTATGTGTCGAGTAAGTGAGGATTGTAAGAGACGGTGAAAATGCAGGTTGTTTTACCTAAAGGTGTTCAACATTAAATGTCCTCTTGATGTTGCGTTATCGTTTTAGTCATTTATTTTACCAAAGATTTCAAACACATGGAATTCCATGGAGTCTATTGATGTTGCTCTGTTTTCAGCAACATCCTGACTAATGCATTGAACCAGACATTTATCTTTTGAGACAAGAAGCAATATACAGGTCATTAGTCAACATTGAAGAGAATTCATTACACAGACAGGAAGTTGGTTTGTCAGCAGTTTCTTATTGAAGTTTTAACCCAAGAAGATAAACAGTGGCAATATGGAGAAATTATTCTGTTAACAATTTACGAAGCAGGTCGTCTTCAGTCTGAATAAAACCATATTTTAATTATCATAGTTTGGCTTAGGCATAATGAAGTGATGTATTTTAATCAGATTGAGGTGTTTAGGTTGATATAAACTTGAGAATGAAAGCCATAGAGTTGGCCAGAAAAACGAAACAAAAGCACATCTCCTTCGGACAAAAATCTAGTTGTTAATTTCGAAATATGATTTAAACCACACGATCATAAGTTATGTGACTACATTGATTCCACTTGGATTCATTATGGTGACAAAATATGTTCATGAGAAAATATGGCCTTTGAAGAGTGAACCTGACAGTCATAATTTCCTAGTAGAGTTAAAAATAGGTACATTTTACAAGTATTTTTTAATACAAATGCAAGCCAAGCATAAATACTAGCCACAATATATACCACTCTACTAGAGGGAACTTTTCTTTTGTTCAGTCTGATGAGCATCAGACTACTAAGTCTGACGTCTTGGGTCCAACTCCTAGTAAAACAATGGTGACCTCTATTTAAAAACATTATCCAGTGTATGTTCGCATTTGATATTGACAAACTTTGTCTCATAACATTGTGGTTTATCATTTTAATAAAATAAATGCATCCAATTACGTGATAGAATTTTTTAGTTCATGGCATCGACCTTAATTTCAGTTTACTGAACAGTACCTTTGGATGATGCTGTTTTATCAAAGCGTCTTTTATGGCAAAATTTCACACTTATTTGTCGTTACGTCATAAAAGAGGACTGCATTCTTAGATAAGTGATGCAAGACATGTTTAATGCATCAGAGGTCTATCCTGGACAAGATTATACACATAAATTACAAGATGTCTCCAGGCATTGATAGGATTGATGAAATCAACACAAATACAAAGTCTTAATTTGCTGTGTTAGAAACATTAACACATCTTCCAGACAATTTAAATTTAAGGCATCTAGTATGGCCTTTTGTTAACTATAAGACCTTATCACTGTTGATTAACTTAACTTTGGATTAAAGGCAAGCAACACTAACAGTATATGCTAGCTGCGAGATGAAAGTTTCTGACAACCCAGAATGATCAGTTTGACCATTAAGATTGAAGTAATTTAAAGCAACCACTAAAATTTCTTCCTTTCAACAGACTGAAAGTCCCGAAAAGGTGCTGCTGAATTCTTATTTGTGACAGCTTAAAGGAAATACTGTGCTGTTCTAATGGAGTTTAATACAATATCAACAATACATTCAATAGAAATAGCAATATTATTGTGGTTAAGTAAGGTTCTGGAGGTATGACATTCTCCAAAGAAAGGGAGCTTGTATTTCAGTCAGTAGCACAAGACAATCGAGCTCAAATTACCAAAAACACGAGTTCGGTTTGTGATTGTGATGAGGATTATTAAGTTTTGAAATTTCAAGTTATTGTATTCTGGAATTCAACTGCACATGAACAGATTTTTATTTCAAAACATGGTTAGTTATACAAGGTAAAAAAATTAAGATAAGGAGGGAGATTGGGAATTAGAATAAATACAATCTGTCATTAAGTTACAGTCCCTTATCGTTGAAATGAGCTCCATCATAGGACTATTCAATCACCAACTAGGGTGAGTTTGGTAAAGTGTGTGCGTAGATCAGTCAAATGTTAATGATATGCATGTCTAGATGGCAATATCCCTGATCTGTGACTTCAACCGGTTGGACCCTTTTGGTAAACTAGACCCATCTTTTCATACATTAATATTTATTGGAAGTATGGAAGTGCATGATTGGTTTGTATTAATCAGCATAATTATGTAAGCCAGATAGATGAACAGCCTTTCCTGTAAGTAAAGAGATGTATTGTACAATCTTGCTTGCTCTTACCACACATATGTATAAAGGAATAAATCCATACCTAGTAATAAGCCCACTCCATTAGAGCATTCAGTGAACTCTTGAGAGTACTGCCATATTTTTGCTTCCAAAAAACTACTTTTGACTCTCGTGAGATTTAAAGGATCTGTCAACAAGTATTTCACATGCTTTGACCTGATGATTTGTGATTTGACTTTTCAAGTTGCCAAATATCAAATAAATGCTCTACATAGACCAGTGCATTTTCATGTAATAAGCCCATCTCTTAACCTCTGAGTTAAAAAAGAGAAAGAAATATAGATACGTGTTAGTCCCCTGAACTTATTGCAAGACAAATTCAGTAACAAGGTAAACTCATGATATTGAAACTGGTAGTTGTTCAATTTTGATGTGCATCTTTAATCATACTAAGCAGGTTACAGTGACTTGTAAATATTAAAAAACTGGAATGAAAAAAAAATTCTATTCTTCACAATTTTAATACAAGTATTTTTGAACAATCCATTCCTGTTACAAAAATATACATTAAAATGCATTTCAAACATTAGAAAGACAGAGGGACAAAATTTATCTCGACCAATAATCACAGGATTTTTGAACACCACAGACCCGTTAAGAAACTACACCATCAATACTAACAATAGCAGTATATTTAGCAGTACTTATCTGGCTGCCAAATACAATTTGCACTGAACATTGGTTGTAGAATAGAATTTTTTCTGATTTTTTTATATTTGATCCCTGAATTTAACTTGATGCTTTTAATGAATGATATCAATAATCATAAAATGCTTAAACTGTACAAAACTGAGACTTAAATGTAACGTCAAACTCAAATACAACACAGTTGAATAATGTTCCACAAAGTTAATGCAATACACCAATATAACACCACATAAAATATAGAAAAGTAACATGAAGAATTAGCAAAGTAAAAGGCCGAATAGGATAACTACATAGGATAAGAAAGCATACAATGGGTTAATCAAATTAATTAAACTAACGCGGCAGTAAAACAAAGGGCAATAACTCTTTCACAGTACTGAGCAAACACAAAATGGTTACAAAAAAAGAAAATAATGGTTACAAAAGCAAAAAGATCAAGTTTTCTTGTTTCTACATATAACAAATTAACATGTTACTAGAAAGAAATACCACTGAACCAATATTGCCATCATCATTGACCTCATCATTAATTTTTGTACACATGTACAAGCTTTTTCTATCAACTGTCAACAAAATGTATAGTCTTGTTTCTGTTGTTAAATAAAAAAAATCCCATTTAATATTAATCCTGGTTGTAATCAGCTCAAATTATTTCTTTCTGATTAATACAGTACAAATTGAGAGATTAAACATCATATAAATGAAACCAATAATTATATATGGTTCAGACTTTGGTGTTTTGGCAAATAAATAAATATACATAACATACATAATAAACTATGACCAGCATTATTGGACAAATCAGTCTGGATACTCATGACCATGAGAACAACATTTAAAACATTTGTAGCCAATCAATCAAAACACTTTAATATTCTAAAACTTCATATGCAAAAATCACACCCAAATATCTGATACATGTAAATGTTCTCATATCATCTTTCATTCCAATGCTTGATCATCACAATATGAATACAATATGTAAGGTAGACTAAACATAGTTAACAGTGTACTGCAGTCTATACAGACACCTTAATTTCTAGTGGAAACAAGGAAATGGTTGGAGTTTTTAAATAAGGCAAGCCTGTTTGACAAAATATGGATCTAATACTGAGAAAAACTGATCAGTGATGGGCGAAATAGATACCTTGGTATAAGTTGAATTTCAGGCCACAATGTTAAATATAAAATGTACCAGGTAAGGATTTCTGTAAAAATTCATATAATGGTTAATGACATTCCTGTGACCTTGTAAACTGATGTAAAATAATACAAATAAAAACAAGAGGCCCATGGGGCCTAACAGTCATCTGACTATGAAGACCTGTATATGATACAAAAGGCCACAGGCCTGAAGTCATCTGACTATGAAGACCTGTATATGATACAAAAGGCCACAGGCCTGAAGTCATCTGACTATGAAGACCTGTATATGATACAAAAGGCCACAGGCCTGAAGTCAACTGACTATGAAGACCTGTATATGATACAAAAGGCCACAGGCCTGAAGTCATCTGACTATGAAGACCTGTATATGATACAAAAGGCCATTGGCCTGATGTCATCTGACTATGAAGACCTGTATATGATACAAAAGGCCATTGGCCTGATGTCATCTGACTATGAAGACCTGTATATGATACAAAAGGCCACAGGCCTGAAGTCATCTGACTATGAAGACCTGTATATGATACAAAAGGCCATTGGCCTGATGTCATCTGACTATGAAGACCTGTATATGATACAAAAGGCCACAGGCCTGAAGTCATCTGACTATGAAAACCTGTATATGATACAAAAGGCCACAGGCCTGAAGTCATCTGACTATGAAGACCTGTATATGATACAAAAGGCCATTGGCCTGATGTCATCTGACTACAAAGACTTTCAGCAGTGAGAAGGGTTATTGTTTCTACTTTGAATGAAATCTTACTAAGAAGCTCTTTCCTTGATGCAGATAGAAGTTTTGGTCAGCATTAGGTAACTGTAACAAGTCTTACATATTTTTTGACCATAGAGTTTTCAGACAGTATTCAACACTAAATCTGAGTCAGTTGCTTTCTGAAGGCACAGCCCTTGTGTCAAGAGGCATTAATCCTGTCTACTATATATAAGAAATGTGTCCTCTCCAATGATATTTCAGGAGGAGTAACATTTGGGGCTCAGCCTTCTGTTCACCTCAATTAAATCAGAAATAATTGTGATCTCCCAATGAAATTACAAAAGTCTGGCCTGAATTTTTATCACTTGTTTATCTGTTTAATTTTGATTTTTTTTTCACACTCCAGCGATATCTTGGATGTGAAAAGTAATCCATGACCTCCAGCAACGTTTAGGGAAAGCTGACAGATGACAGCTATCGCATCATTGCATATGCTGACTGACCCGTTAGAGCAGGTGAAAAAAAACATTTTGTTGGCTACCTTTCCTTAACATCCCTACCAATTTCTTCACTCAGTGGCACAAGTAAAACTGGGGAAGAAGGAAGAAGTTTATAACATGTTTTTCAAGATGGTGGCTATCTTGGCCATCTTGGATTTCAGACTGACCAAAAAAAAAAAACAACACTTGGTCAGGACAATCTATGGAACATTTCAGACAAGTTGAAGCTGAATTCCAAGAATCACAAGGGCTCTAGGTCATCATTGTAAAATACTAATACAAAACACTATTAAATTACAGTAATACTAGGTAAATTACCAAGACTTATTTCATTACCTGTTAGCTAGTTTTAAAAATTGACCTGAATTTTTTTTTTATCTTAATTAGAGTACTTCCACTTAAAATAGTGCACATTTTAGTATGAAAAGGATTTACAAAGTCATCCACGATACTCCAAGGGTTAAGATCGCTTTCACTCACTGCACCCATGAAACATGTCATGGCAAAACTGAAGACACAAGAAAAGTAATTTGACTGTATCCAGGAGAAAACTGACCAATCATGGACTGATACAAATATTACAAAGGAGCGACACTCAACTTTAAAGCCATAACAACATACTGTTATGTGACTTTGAGATTTGTTTTATTTACATCAAAGAATCCAACTAGTCTATTCCACAAGGTGTTGTACATGGAACCTTCAATTTAGGATAACTATTCCAGGGGTGTTGAGAGCGAAAGTGATCATAACCCCTGGAGAATCAAGGATGTTACATTGTATAATCATAATAGCATTCTTGATCAATGGGAAGTTCTGGGTTTTTTTTTTTCCTTCAATGTAAAATAAGAAACACTTGGGGAAAAAATGATATGGTCCATGAAAAGATTTACTGTTATGTTTTAATATTATACTGTTTTCTTACTTAATGGAAGAAATACCAGTTTTTGATGGTGAAGACATTACAACATGTGTTTTACATTGATTACTTCTATAGAAATAAAAATTTTTGTACAAAATATATTACACCAAAAAAGAAGTGTTTTAACTGGAAACAAGTACCTTGAAGCTGTAAATGTGAAGTTCACCTAACTATTAAGTGTTGAAATTCTACTTTACACCTTAGCTACAAGTTATGTAAATATCTGTGTATAACCGATTAATTCAATCTTGATTTCTAAGCTTATCTACTGGCTTCAGTGTAGCATATAACATCATAAACATATATCAATTATTTGAAAAGGACATATTCTAAGTAGCTGCCAAAAAGTAAATTTCCACAGTAATGCACTTAAAGGGAAATTGTAAGGCACCTATATATCAACTCCTATAGATAAAAATCAACGTAAAGGAACCTAGAGGATGACCTTCTGCTAATGTATACTGATAGGATATTGACTGAAAGGGGGTTCTCGCCGACTTTTATTTATATCTTAATGATAAAGTTATTTGGAATTAGGATGCAGGATGACATGGATGATTCAGCATCTAAAAGTTAAAAATATTTCAGCAAGCAAAACAATACTTTTCACAGCCATAAAACTTTCCTCACTAATGGGAAAAACATTGTCTCATTTATCATGACTGACTGTAATTATTTATCACAATATCTAGAATTGAATTTAACTGAAGCCATGGTGTGTGACCAGGTTTATGAAATAACCTAATACTGTATCAAACAATCACCCATGTTTTGTAGAGTATCATACAGTGTACATGCGATTAGGAAATATCCATCAGAAACACGTACAAACACATCACAATTACCATACTGGTAGATGCTTTCACTGCAATATGGCAATATGTTTCACTTAAGTTGTGTGTTTCATGTTTTTAAAAGACAATATAACAATGACTAGTTTCCATGACAGCAAAATAAACATTTATGTTTTCTATTATATCAATTCTTAAACCATTTTAGCCAATTTTGATATTAAAAATGCCTAAAATAATGATTATCAAATGCCATCTTTTGTATAAAAGCAAAAACAAAACTGAGCAGGTGTATATTTTGTGCTGTGTTGTGATATGGACCATCAGCTTTGTTTGGTTTTAAGTTCGCCTCTGAATTTTAGTATAGCCTTGGTCTTAGATCCTGGTCTATCCAGATTGATAGCATGACCACAGCGGGAAATGATATCCACAGACTGGCAGTTTGGCAGCTTCTCTTGCAGCACAGTTGCTCCTGATACATCGATCACCTACACATAAAAAGAGAAATATAGGATTCCCAATTACAAAAATTACACCCTCCCCCTTCTTCCTCTATACTCTCAATCAAAGAGACGCTGTATAATACTTGCTTGCAGACAATGACCAGAGGTGACAGTGTATAAATTCAGTTCAGAAAATTAATAAAATTAATAGATCTATTCATTTTATCTGATGTGTACCATGGAAATTACAATTTTTAGTAAGAATACTTTCACTCATAAAAATGTGAGCTGACACCGACTTTATCAACACACAGCAATCTACCACAATCTCTGCATATAATTACCCCAACGATAATCAGCATAACAGATGTGTTTCAGTATTCAGTTTTAATAAAGTCTTTATTTTTTATTATGATTTCCCTTTCCTGCTTAGAGTTCCTGCTCAAAGGCATTTTTTCTTGCAATCTTCATTAACTCTACATTACTTAACGCAAATCTGTTTTTTGCTATTTTTTCATTTAAAATGTAATTTCTTTTAAAACCTGTTAAGTAATCTTTTAAAATCATGATTTGTTTCCAAATTTACATGCCTACACATGTAAAGAGAACTAATTTTTTTCAATTCATTACCTGGTCTTCCTCGCCCCATATAAGTTGGCTAGGTACATTAATTTTGTGAGCTGTATTTTCCAATATTCCTGCATATTCCCAGCTGGCAAGGGACTTGAACACTACAAAAAAGTCATATATTGTAGGTAAAATGGAGGATCCTTGAAAAGTATCCTAAATTTATCAATATCAAAATGAATATTTATCTACACATGAAAAGATATTCTGGCATGATCAAAGCTTTGCCTTACCACCAAAGAAACAAAATTCACACCATGTGAACTTTTCCTATTTCCATAAACATGATTTTCAAAGGTGATGCATTATGTCTTTTTATTAAGTTTTGTTTTATCATGTGAAACAATGTTCAGGAAAATCTCTTATTTCCTAGAAATAAGTTTTCTTTTAAAGTCTAAGTATGAAACATAAAAACAAACAAAACTGCCAGAATTAAATCATACTGGAGACAAAGTATATGTTTAATACAGAGATATCAAATTAAAATTCTTCCCTTGGAAATAAGATTTACACACCATCACATTAAGTTGTTAGCTACTATTAACTTACATCTAAAGAAAAACTTGTGGTATGGTTTTCTCATCTCAACAGCACCTTGCAGGATCTGTGAAAACAAATGGCATTCTTCATTTAGGCCAGTAATTTTTTTTTCACTTCTGTGTTGTTTGTCTCTGACTTGTCAAACTATTATATTGCCAAATACTGCACAGGAACTAATTCATAAAAACTTGTACCTGGTAGCCTAAATAGTATATTCCTAAAGCATATTGATCATTTCCTAAAAATGGAAGTGACCTCTTTTAATACCATATACATTCAGACTGACAATAATATAATCAATATAAAGAAAACGAGATCCAGCGTGCAGTCTGGTAGATTCAGTAATATCAGCAGTCTTCCTAGGATGGATTCCTAGTGGAATACAGGAGTCCAGTTCAAAGATATGTAAATAGCAAATATAGAGGAACAGACAACATCCGTAAGAAGAATTAAAACTGTTTAATAGTCTTCCTGCAGATGTTGTCTGGTCCTCTATATATTTTCAAAGATACAAACAGAACATTAATGTGCATTTTGCTATCCAATTTTTAATTCTGGCATTAATTTCCTGATTGTTGAAGACATTCTACAGGTTTTTTATGATGAAAGTATTTTGTTTAGAAAATTACAGTATGTTCTATACGTAATTTAGATGAATTTCATTACACTAAACATGACTACAGAACACAGCCATTACATTAAGGATATATCCTGAAAACAAATCTTACTACATAGAAAAGTATGCTTAGGTTTATGTTCAGAAACTCTTTGCAGACTCAATGCATAGCAACCTCAGTTATTCAGCAAACAATAATAAGGTCAATTTATGAAATATATTCTGAAAGCAAATATTCCACAGTATAAAAGCAAGGCTAGAACATATTTATTTTAAAGATCTTTTTTTACAAAACTAACCTGATTTGTAAAAAAGAAATTAGGCTTGTAAAATTGAGCAAAGCTTAACATATGTTTCATCTCCTCTGGGTTCTTTGGTATAAATGGGCAATCCTTAAGGATGGTTTCATCATCTCCAGATTCCATAATCTCTCGGATTTTAATTGAAACTTCACTGTCCTTAGGTGTCTTCACTGAGAGAGAAAGATATTAAAAAGTAGGAATTATTTTGGACAGACTTTTTTCCCACACAGTAAAAATTTACAAGTACAAATATTCTAAGAATTTCTGAACATTATCTTCAGGTCAGTTATATATTCAAAAGTGTTTTCTCATGTTTCAAATAGTGATGAATAAAAGAGTGTATGATGTCTGATTCTAGGTTTGAATTTTGATAATGGTTAGATATACATCGTAAATACTGAGTTATACAATTCCTGTAGCATTCAACCATTAATACAACATTTTTATCAAAAAACACTTCTCCTTATCATAACTTTGGATGTTTTAATAATTTGACTGTATGTATTATAACATAAAGCAACCTACTTGCTGGACATATCATTGTGACCCTCTCAATATGATCTTGGTATTTTGCAGTGTACAAGCCAGCAATAGAACCACCCATAGACATCCCCACTATATGGAATGGTTCCTTATTTAGTCCAACAGCTTCTACAAACTGCAAACAAAGAGCAAATTACATAAATGTTTTAAGGTTTTTAAGTAAATCTCAATTTTTTATAATTCACAAATTATGCTAAAACAGATTGTCATGTGATACAAAAACATTTCCAAGACTAATACATTTATGAACATACATGAGGTTCCATTTGATATGTGAAAGTATGAAACAAGCCTGAGAATTTTTCATTTTAGCAAGCCTTTGGTGATCTTACACAAATAATTGATGACCAGTTTCATAAATATTACATCAAATTGAACCCCATTATATTATTGAATCTCAGTTTAATTGTCCATGACATCACAGTTAACAATTAAAATTTTTCTCTCCTCAGAGTACTTCAACGAAAAAATTAGAAGAAAAATTTGTCATGATGAACCCTCTGCAACAATTTATTGGCAACATCTGAGTATGTTGTGATTAATATTCACATCTTATATTCATTATAACACGTGTTATACCCTCAGACTTGTACCTGGGTATATTCAGTGAATAACAAGGCAATCATGTGATAAACTCATATAGAGTATACAGGTAACCTACGATAAGCAAAGTGTTCCAGCACATAAGCTGTAACTCCGAGTAGGTTCGTGGGCTTACTATGGGACAAAGGCATTCTGTGTTAACATAGCCTTGTCTAGCCTGAAGTCTATTCCAATTCATGAACATATTCACGAAAATGTTATGGTAACAGGATTTAGCAAAGATACCACTTATTTAATTCATTGATCAAGAGACATCTGCACTATTTCTTACTGACACATGGACCATTTTCATGCATCGAATCAAAACAATCCTTTCTTGCAAGAATCCCTAACTAAATAATATTCCATGTATATGTAGTAATATGTATGAAATAAATTTCAAAGCTCAACAGGGACACCTCTCTATCTTTATTATATTAGCTAAACCATTTAACTGTGCTTGAAAAAATAATAAAAAAAGACTTTTCTGAATCAGCCTACCTGGTGAACTGTGGACACTTGTCCAATAAAGGAGATGTCTTCATCTTCGGAGGGAGTGCTGCTGTCCCCATGTCCAGGCAAGTCCAACGCAATCACATGGTAATCAGGCAGATTCTAGTGGTAAAAATAATATATGTTTCATAAAAAACCTATGTAGAATCATGTAAGAATCCTATTTGACAGGATGATGACATTTTGTGCTGTTGCTAACTCTGGTCTAAATTCATCAGCTGCTAGATATTGCAGTGCATTAACCTATGGTTTGCATTAGATGAGGTAACACTGAATACATAAGTCACGTCAGCATCATAATGTTATAATTGCATGTGACAGTTTGGATATATACCTTCACTAAAGGCACCCACATAAACTTGTCAGCTGAGAATCCATGAAGAAGGAGAATGGAAGACTTGTCAGATCGTCTTCTACCTCTCTCTCCATAACATAATGTCTGGTTCCCAAGTTTTACATACTGAATCTTCATGCCACTTAGCAACACTGCAAGTCTAAAAAAAGACAACGTTATTCATTATCAACAATTTCTTTTCCTGGGAAAATGGGTGACCCTGGGGCAATGAAATTTACAATTTCGGTAAAGCACCATCAGATGCTTCCATCCATGAAAAACATTTGCGCCTACTATATCTGGGAGTTAACAAGAAGTTTTTTTAAAATTTGAGTCAATTTGACCACTTTTGATTGACTCCTTAGGTCCCTGAAGATTGGCATCATTTAATTCATTCTTTCAGTTCATTTATGACTGGGAAGGTTTCTGCCAAATTTCATTGAAATTGGATTCAAGGATTTCTGCGAAGAAGTCAAAATGTTAAAAGATTATGAATGCATGACACCAAACAAAAGGTGATCACAAAAGATCATCATGAGACTTTACCTCAGAAGACTTTAAATTTGTTAGAATTCCTGTATCAAAATTAAATACAAATAGATTTTAATTCAGTTTTAAATCAGAATAACCAGTGAATATGCTAATGTTTCATTTATTTATACCTCATGTATGCCTGAACAACAAGAACTGGTCGACTGAGGTAGAGAAGGAGAGTCGCTGCTGTCACTGTAGCTGTGGTGACTAGTACAGGGTAAATCATCACGGTCGACACAATATCGAGTACTGGTGAAGCCATGGCTGAGTGGCGGAGTTGGAAATGGTACTTAATGGAAAAAATCTGCAACAAAATTATCAATACATGACATGTATTTTTTCCCAAAATACCTGGAAAAGTATTTATTAAACTCTAGCTAGGTTTTCATTATTGAAATATATAATTTCCAATATGTCATGTGTTTTATAACATGCACTATAAATATACTCAGGAGTGAAATCTCTCTTAGAATTGACGTACCTGTTTTCAAATAACCAAATATTGTAATTATAAACTGTCTCTAACATTCTGTATTCTTCAAACCCCCAATATTTACAACTAATCCCCTCACTTTTACCACTGTTATCATTTACCTATTCATGAAGTTACTATGTAAATCGATTAGCATATATTGTGTTATCTAACTAGTACAACAAGAAAAGATAAAATCCATCCTTTGATATTAGTTTTGTTGTGGTACAGATAGAACTTTCCAGTTTTATCACCTACATGTACATAAGCTTATGTAGGTCAAAATTGTGACATACATGTACTCTAATTTCTTAAAGTTACATACTTCTCTTATTAGCATGCAAAATCTTAATATTCTATATATGGGTCTCAATGATCTGACACAATATTATACCATGCACTGATGGTTATAACTGGTGTTTCAAAGTCAGATTTTATATCTGGCCACAATCTTTATGGCAGCTTACAATGAATACATTCCCATGTCTTCAAATTCACTTTGAAACTTTTAGATGGCTGATAAGAAAGATTCAAATGGAAAAACGTGTTATGATGATTTTGTACTGATTGCACATGTCATGTACTAAATCTATGAAAATTCTAACAGTCATGTAGAGCTTGACAAAATATTCACTTTAATTTTGTTGTAAACAATTTGTTTTATTAAAACTTATCTTCAAATACTGGTACTATAGGCAATACATGTAAAAATATGTAGGACATGACCATGCTTATTTATTTCCAAATTCTAACAGTAAAAAGATAAAAAAAATCTTCCAAATTTATAAAATTTGCTAGGTGAAAAACTTTCTGTTGTCTTGAAATACTAATAAATATACATTTGGACTCTATCTCATTTTTAGCATAAAAGCAATTTTCACTTTAAAAGTGAGTAAATGTGCTGAATGCCAACTTCCCTGCTTGGAAGCCAAAGTCCCTTAAAATAATCTATATCACTAATCTCCCTTACTGGTGTCAGACAAATATGGCCTGTAAAGGTGAAATATAATGGGTTATTTCCTTTTAAGTAGGATTATTACTAAACTGTATAAATTCTGATGTATATATAGTGTATGACAGTATCAAATCTGCAACCTGAGTCATTTGCCCCACAGGGCATGGGCAAATAAATTAATAAATCACATCCTGTCATCATGTAGTGAACATGCACATATGATCCTAAAATGGCACAATTATAAACTGTTACCATTATTGTAATAAAAACTGAGGTTTTCTTTCCTCAAACTCATGATCGATAGCAGATCAAAATTATGGAGACTGATACCAAGGGTATTTACATTGTAATTTGCCCAAAGATAAGGAACACGTTCCTTTTTATCTGTAGGAAGTTAAGTGTATATGGCAGGACTTAGGAATAAGGGATTCACAAATTCAATACAATCAGAATTGTATAACCTGTATTCATATTGCTATTAATCTGCATGTACAGTATTGGAAAGTTACAAATGGTGGCATCCTAGCTTTGTTTGTCCGCATTAGAAATCAAGTAAAATACAATGAAGCAAATCATTTTACATTATGATATATAGATATCTATTGTTGACAAGTGTTAAAGTTGTTTGTTGAGGTTTTATAGCACTTAAAGTAGTAAATAATTTAAAAGAAAATCTATTATATGAAATCTTTAGTGTACAAACTAACCCATTACCTCTGTGATTTGTGCCATGCATCTTAATAGAAAACGAAGTAAGCAATGAATGATATTATGTGGACAGAAGTCAAGAAAATTATAACAAGTGCCAAAATTTGGCTTAAAAGGTTTCATATTCTTAAATATGCCTATAATTTGAACTAAAATCTATATACCTGTATCCAAGAGTCGATTTGTGTAGATTTGGTGATCAGAGACAATTTTGAAAGACATAATAACTGTAATTAATGTTTATAAATGCATGCATGTCTTTCTGTATTCTGATCATGTATTAGTTGATATATAATTTGTAATGACAGTGCATACATCCATTTATGTCAAAATGTTTTTCATTATTCAATTCAAGTCATGTTAAATCAGAGATTTTATGTCTCTTGTTAAACGTTTGCATCTTATTTTCAATAGATGAGTCACTTTTATTTCTTTAATCAGAAGGTGTTGAATCTTACAGTAATACAGTATTGTTACAACGTTTATCGTCATGTAAACTGGGTTCGTGTTTAACATTCATCGCGTAGCTTCACTGATCATTGGTATCTGACACTGATAAAAAAAATATTTATACAGCCTTGGCACAGACCAGTTCACGTAGATGTGTCTGAAAGGAAAAGTGTCACGGGGCGTGGTTTTATGACTTACATAATCACTTACATGCATATTAACATGATCTGTGAAAAGCAAACACCAACTAATGATAGTTAAGCATGTTGTGAGGAAGTGAAGAACAACTGAGGTAAAAATACATTAAAGCCAACAGTTTTGCAACCCCGGGACGGATCAAATCCTGCGATATCACAAAGTATTTCGTGATGTGGAAGAATTCGTTCCGCCGTTCTCGTTTACTGACCTGCGTATTTACAGACTTTTATCTATGAAAGTACTATGGTATATTGTAACACTCACAAATGAATTATATATTCAACACAGGTAGATCATGTTCAGATTTAGAGCTGGATGGAAGTCGCCAAAATAATAGTTTCCTCTTCTCCACCCTGTTACGTGAGATTACAGCATTGTCAACTTCCTTTCAACCGGATATGAAGCACTGCAACAAATTTCCTGTGAGATATCGGGATTTAATACGAGTTACCGCCGTTAAACTATCCTTGCATTTATATTTTTGGGGAAGACATTTTCATTTTTTGTAATAAATTTCATAATGATAATCAATTTTTTTTAAATTGTATACATATAGCGAATAAAAACATATTAGGTTAGTTCTGCTATTTATTTTTTACAAAATAATTCCGGAATATCCGGAAAACATGACCCTACTTTAATATTACGTGTCCATACAAGACTTCCGTTTTAGAAGAGAAAGGTGCTGGTAAGATAAACGATTTACTATTTATCAAAGCATGCATATATTTATTTAAACAACGTATTATGTAATAAATCAAATATGCATGCAAACATTTAAAAGCTATGCCTCAAGCAGAAAGTAAATTTAGTTCACAAAAGGTTACTATCCTTAGCTACTTTTGGTCTAAAGTATCGGTATATTTCAATCATTAAATGAAACTTAACACTTCAATTCTAATAGAAGATGCCTCAGAAATGTATGATAAACATAGTACTCATTATGTAAATGCATTATACTATAATGCCGTTTGTATCCTTCGACTTGAAATTCCTTGAACCTTGAGAACAACCTTTTAGCAGTTGTTACCTTTTGACCGGTTAGATAGTCAATAGCTAGTGATTGCAAAAGTTTGACACTATCGATCATTTGTTGTCATTGTCAACTGACCACGGCACAGAAATGATAGAAAATCAGAACCTTCCAGACTATCTTAAGCTTAAGTTTTGATTTTATTAAGTTGTTAAAGAATCAGGCAACACTTGTCATATTTTTCAAATATCTGCTCCCATTTTATATCCAGATAACAACCGAATTACTGAAAACAATTATTCCTTAACACATTTTCACTTTTGAAAAGCATTTTACGATCTGGTTTTACGACAGTGTGTCAGAGAAGATAATATCCTCCAGGTTGATAAGAAAAATTGGAGTTCAAGTAGTTTTCCCAAATCAAAGTCCAAGGATTTTCATGTGTACAGAAATGATAAAATGTTTTTAAAGCAAACACATTGATTTACATTTTAAATTACACGAAATTAATTGTAATTTGTAAGGACTCGGATATTTCAATCCTAGATCCTATCTCTAAGTGATGTGACTGATTGAAAATTGTGAATTGGTGCTCTGAACTCTTCTGAAAAAAATCTGTTAAAAATTATTGAATTGACTGAGGTATGCAAGAAAAGAATATCTGCAGAGAATAGCATAATTGCTTCCTCAGATATATAGGCTTTTAACTTCAGTATGTTTGGAGGCATCAATGAAAATAGTTTTTAATGGTATTGTCCTGTTTATTTAATGTTTGAGGAATCAGTTTTTTTTAATGTTATGGCTTGCTCTAGGCAAATGGTTATGTAATGTGTACACCGTAATCAATGGAAAAGTAACATGCAGTATGATTGATTGCCTTGTTTACTACCAAGACATTTTAATAGAACTGATTATTTTTGTACTCAAAGATATACATTTTGATCTACTGTCATTAAATCTCCAAATAGGTATTTGAAATAGACTAGAGGTTTTTTGTGAGAGTTTTGCCCCCTTTCTGCTTTACATTGCTCATTCATAAGGAGCAGTAAAACAATATGTGACAATGTACTAGTTGTGAAATACATTGAATTGGGTCAATATATGCACTGATTTATATTTTATAGGAACAAATTATTAAGTGTATTTGAAGAAGCAATCTACAGCTGCATTATTCAAGATGTCTCTGTACGATGGATTAGACATGGACAGTGACAAGGGTGGAACTGAAACAAAGGCTGATGTTTGTATGTAAACAAAAGTTTTGTTTTCTTTTTGTATCAAAAGATCTCTTGTGTAAAGTAATAATTGTATGTAATATGTAAGGTAAAAGAAATATTGACAAAGGTGTGATCCCTTCATGGTTGTGTTTTTCTATCAGCAATCTCCTGATATATTCATATCTGCAAGTTATTACATTTAAGAACTGAAAGGAATATTCAGCAAAAGTTAGGATTTCAAGTGATGTTTTTTTCTTAAAAGTTGAACAATAAAATACAAAATTTATGTATGGCATGATCTGATAGGAATTTGTATGCCTCAATTCACCACATAAACAAACATTCAATATTAATTTGTGGAACTTCTATACAAATCCAGGTAGATTGATTTTCAAATATTAGATTAACCATGATTTAGCCCAACAGTGTGAAATATTTGTGTATATTTTAAAAGCAATGGAAGTCAAATTCCAGCAGAAATTGTAAATGAACAGCATACAGACTTGTAACATGTAACTAATACTTCACATGAATTCTATGATCCAGTCAGTGACTGACTTCTTGATTCCATATTTTGCTATATTTAGATAGTCTATTCCACCAATTTCCTCTGTCCAAACTGATCTTCAGGAAGATATTTTGATGTTGACAATGGTTTAAAAGTCATTGCAAATAAATCCAGAAAAGTACAATACAGTCTGAATTTGCAATTTATGAAGATGCACACTGTAATGGCTTTTTTTAATGACATATATACAAAAATATAATCTCATCATACTCGTAACAATGACAGGAATGTCTGTCTTACACTTTTTGTTTGATATTTCAGCTGCCTGGTCTTCAAGCTATAAACTTTTGATGTCACAACTTCAGGCAAAGAAAGTTTCACTTGTACAAACAAAGGTACAAACTATATTTCTGTTGATCCTTTTGTTTTCAAACATTTCAAGTAATACATATTTATATGTAATGAAGGCTTAAGTTGTAAATCATTTGAAGGGATATAATTTTTCTTTAAAAATTCAGCAGTCCAAGTTACTTTTTATTAAGAGATTGATAAATCAAATGTTGTAAAGCGTATCTTGTGATATTTGTGCTGATATTGTCTTAGTAACTCCTAATGATTTTTTATCTTACAGCGACAACGCCAGAATGCAACCTTAGCACCAGTTGTGGACCTTAAAAGGAATGCTGATTCTTCAGAACTACACTTCAATCTACAGACAGGCAGGGTATGGTATCATATTGTTTTGTTGTCAAAATTAAACTAGATAAGGGTACACAGCAAATACGAGGTAAGTTTTAAGATATTTTTAAAAAGTTTAAATCTGTCATTTTACGTGATTGGATTGGAGTTTCATAATATGTTGAAAACTGTCTTATGACATGTTAATCTATTTGTTTTTATTTTAACTTTAGCAATAAGATATGCCTAATATGTATACATGATTCTGATTAGTTTAAGTGAAGACAATTGAGAATAATAAAATTATATGGTAACAACTCAAATATAATTAAAATGGAAGCTTTACATTGAATTTAATGAAACATTGTTTTAAAGCTTGAGAGTAGATCTGGAGGTGAAGGTGGAGGATCTAGCAGCAGTGGTGGGGGTGGGGCTGGGCCCCCTGTAGCCATGGGAGGATCTCCTTTCCTACCCACAGACCCAGTGCCCTCCCTTACTGGTGTCAGTGATGAATATAACCCACTCAGACCAAATGATTATGAAGAATTTATGAAGAAAAGAAAAGAACAAAGACAAAAAGAACGAGAAGAAGAAAGGAGAAAAGATGGTGGTAGTGAAGAACAGGAAAGATTTCCTCCCGAACGAGGATCAGGCAGGTAAGGATATACTGCTCGTTAACTAATGACTTTATATAAGACTTCACCATGTTTAACTAGTCCTTACCACAAAACAAATTAGTGTTGAATATTATCAGTACTTGTAGATTAGTCCAAAATATTCAAAACATTTTTTATAAAAGTCTGTAGTTTGTTCATCAACTGTTGTTGGGTTGCAACTGCATAATTTACAAAAATATTAATTTTCATTTGAATATTATTTCATGGATAAATCTTGCTAACAAAAACTATGATCAATGTAACTGTTGTTGATCTGTTCACCATTTTGAGGACATATGAATCTTTTGATATTAAGATTATGAATGAATTAAAAGTAACCAGAAATTCTCTGAAAATGCAACCCTCACAAATATTGATGATTTTACAGTATTTTGTAGGACGGCTTGGAATGAAGTAGTTGAAATCTGACTGAAATATCATGGAACAGCTCCATGCTAATTGTCACAGTTTGTTTGAACTTGACAGTTATATTCTTTACATGTTTCTTTGATTTGTCTATTAGATGTTTATATAGATGTAACTGTCGTAAATACTAGACACAATTTACTGCTCGTCTAGAGAGAATTTCTCTTTAACTGGATTGGTTGAGCATAAGACCAGTAAACCAGAGGTCTAACCTTTGAGTCCTAGAGGAGGCATTGAAATAAGTAATGACCTCTGTTACATTGCTGCCAAAGTAGGGACTTTGTATTGTCCCACAGAATATCTTTAACCCCTGGAAACATGAGAATGAGTTCTGGACAGGGAGTATGTAACCCTGGTAAATACTAGCTGCAGTATACTGCTTGACTAGAGAGACCTTCTCTTTAGCTCGATTGGTTGTGCATCAGACTAGTAAACCAGAGGTCTTGTGTTTAAATCCTAGCAGGGACATTAAAATTGAAAATGATCTTAGATAATGTTGTTATTTGAAGAAATCATCACAGCAATATCTCTTACTCCATAGTTGACCATGGGTAACATGAGAGATGTTAGCAACAAAAAATCTACCATCCAGAACATCAAAAATAAATCTTTGTAGATTTGATATACTATCCTGATTTTGAGTAAACATCGCTTAAAAAAGAGACAGGGAAAATAACCTATTGTATGATATATACATTTATGTATGTAGATACTTTAGGATAACCACAAATACCCAATTCTGTACCGCACAGATTATAATTGGAAAAAATAAAAGAATTAATATTTGCATAATCCCATTGACATATAAAAACTTGATAAAATTTTGAATTTGAAAATCAAATTTTTTGTAATTGTGAACAATATATAACTTGGACATGCATGTACATTTGATATTTTTCAAAATAAAAAGGATTTGCTTACTGTTTTAAACTATGGTTGTTCACAAAAGTTTGGTCTTATATTTTCAGAAAGAGGCGTGACCGTGATAGGGACAACACTCCTGACCACTTTGGTCTTAGTGAGATGGAAAGAGCCAGAAGAAGGAAAGAGGAGGAGGAAGAAGAAGAGTATGAACACAAACCACGAAACAAAAGTAATAACAGTGATTAGTCGAGAAAAATTCTTGACCACATTGTCTTTCCCTTCTTTCTATTGACTGAATAGAAAATGGGCTTATTTCAATAGTACATGTTATAGCAAGTTTATTGGGGAAAGAAATCACCAAAAAAACATTTGGTCAAAGCAAAAATACCTGAATGAGGTTTAGTCATAATATGTAGTAATAGATCTTTCAACTAGTGATGGGAAACCAGTTAAAATCCATAATGAGTTATCGGTTAAAATTTGAAGGCTTTCCGATATAGTTAATCAATTACAAGATCGACAGACTAGGTGTTCAATATTCATAGAAAGTGAACTCATTCTCTGTTGCAGCAACTTTTTCTTTTTTTGTAACTTTAACCTAAACTACCTTACTTACCCAGAATTGGCCCAGGAGCAAATATTATTGGCAACTGGCATCTTTATTGTGCAAGATATGAATATTGTTTTTGCTAAAACACAAGAAAATATTGAGGTATTGATGATGGATAATGAAAAATTACAATTGATCATCACTTCAGGTTAAACGACATGATAATTGATTATGTCTAATCTAAATCCCATCACTACTCTCAACCTTCAGTTGTACCGGCCAAATATATTGCTTTTGAAATCCTTTTCAGGTCAGGGAGCTGCCATCGCTCCTCCATCCTCTCTTATCAACGAGGATATGATCATCAAAGAGGGTAGGTATTTAATACTTCATGCTTCCGAGTAGATTTTGATGGCAACTCTGAGGCTGTTAGGTACATACTTTATAGTTTATACCCCTTCACTGGCACAGAGAGTCTATATTTATACTTTGTACTCATTGATGGATTTCCATGTATAATCAGAAATCAATTTGAAATTTTTATATTTGGCTAGATACTGACCAGGTTCTGGATTGATAATACGTTTACTCCTCAGAAAATTAAGCCTTTATGACCATGTAGGAGACCGTAGCACCTTTGATTTATACTGTATTACTGTATGTAATCAAACCCTTTTTTGTAGGTTGATCAGCTGCCATCTTCAGGCAGTGTAATTTTAATGTCATGTATGTCCTACCACCAGAATAGTCAGTCCAGTTGTAGGGCCTTGTAAATGCAGTCATAGGTTGCATTATGAATTAAGTAGAAATGCAAAGGTTTTCATTTATAATTGACCTTCTGTAACAGATGTTATGTTTTATACAGAGCCCATGCCAGATAGATCCAGGTCCCCACCTAATCCTATGGGCTATACAATAGGACTAGGGTAAGTACCTTAGCCACACTGTAATTATGACCATTAACTCAAAGTTTATGCCACCCAATGCCTTACATGAAATCCCATAAGTCTGTCTTTTCTTTTTGCTGTATAGCTAGTATCACTTCAAAAGGACTTTTACAAATAAATCACATTGTTATATTACATGATATGAAAAAAGTTTCAAAATAAGTTGATAAGCATTCCTTCATAAGTACTAATTATCCCCTGCTTTCACCGAAAGAGGGATTATTAATTCGGGTTTGTCTGTCCGTCTGTCTGCCATACTTTCGTTTTCGTGTTCTAACTTCCTTAAATATCATCCAATTTCAGTGAAACTTGGTCAGCGGATGCATCTTTGGGTTTTTAAGGCTGAGTTTGACTATCAGTGTCATCTGTTAATAATTATGCATACTAATGAGGTATCCTTTGATTTCATTGGTGGGTTCATTTCTGTGCTCTTACTTCCCTAAATATTATCCCATTTAGATGAAACTTCATCAGCAGATGCATATTAGGGCACATAAGACTAAGTTCAGCAATCAGCTCAAGAGAATATATCATTCTACATAGCATCATGACATGTTTATTCCTAACCTCTAAAATATTTACTTACAATATGTTTGGAAAGTGGGTGATATAAATTCCATGAATTAGCTTGTTATGCATCAAAATCACACTAGTGTCCTCATCTGTATGACTGGATAGACAGACTCCATGAGGGAGACCCTAGAGATTATTAATTTGAAACATTTTTTTTTTTTTTTTTTTTTGTGCAGTGGTTCTGTTGCCTCGAAGATTATGGCTAAATATGGGTACAAAGAAGGACAAGGTCTTGGCAAGTCGGAGCAAGGCATGAGTACTGCGCTCCAGGTGGAAAAGACCAGCAAGCGTGGTGGCAAGATTATACATGAGAAGGATATCCCTAAAGGTTAATAATGATAAAGTTATCTTTTCAACTGCTCAAATTTTACTTTCGTTATTGATTCAAGATTGATAAATATGAACTTTTTGGCTGAAGTTGATATAGTGTAAGGCACAGTAAGTCAAATTATTGAATATACATGAATCTGCATTTTAAAGAAAATGGTCAAATAAAATCTATACTAGATATGTATTTATTTCTGAATTAATCATATTTCAGCGTACTTTACTTGCTATTTAAAGCTTGAATTTACTTGTCCATTAACATACCGTTTTCCTTAAATTGTAGGATGATTTTTTTTAAGGTGACTATATCAAAACCGATGTTATTAAAATCAGGTTTACTTCTACTCAGTAAATATTAAGGTTTTCTATTCTGTAATACAGTTATCTTGTCACAATGGTTAAACAGCAGCATAAAGTTTTAACCATAATAAATCTGTTGATATGACATACACACTGAATATTGTTTGAAATTGTCTTATTTGTTCCACAGAATTACCTAGAGAACCAACACCTAATACTAACTTGTTGAAAAATCCCTCCAAAGTAATTCTACTGCGGGTATGTCACTAAATAATCAGGTTTTATTTCTTTTATTATTCATCGAAACAGAATACATCTTTTACTGTCAGAAGATTGCAATATACCTATTCTGTTCTCTCTGTAACATAGTCATTGATCGTGTTCAGAATTAATTTGTTGTTTTTATACAATACCTTGAAACCTTTTAGGTATATTGAGTCATTGAGGATGATTTCCTACCACAGTATGTTCCTGTAATCAGAATAATATTTTGCTATCTAGATTTAGTTTCTTCAATATTTTGAAAATTTACTTACAGAACATGGTTGCTCCAGGCGATGTTGATGAAGAATTGGAACAGGAGACATCTGAAGAATGTTCCAAATATGGCCGTGTTATTAAATGTGTCATATTTGAGGTAAATATTACGCTTAGTGATGAAAAAAAAGATTGGTGAATAATCTATTTTTATTGTGATATTTAAATGATAGTATTTTTATTCGTCACTGCCTTGTATTTCAATGAATATTTGATGAGATACTTCAATGATTGTATAGATAGAATGAAGACTACATTTTCAATACTGACTTAGAAGTGAAAAAGGCAGATGGAGCAAGTTTCTGATGCTTGCACTACATGTATACGTTAACAAGCAGTCAGTATAAATGTTCAATTAAAGTATAACTATCTATCTTAATCCCTCATTTGTAACAATTCACAACATCTTCAGAAGAACCATAAGACCTAATTTTATATGGCAACAAAGCAATAGAGATAGAGGAAAGTACAGAGTAAAGTCTGAAGAGTCAAATATATAAGCATTGACTGATTGGTATAGTATCTTAAAGATGGATGGCTTTCAAATCTGTACAGATAAACGAAATGTACCCTCATTAAATTTGTATTGACCAAACAACAAGACAGTTTAATGTTTGATAAACATTTTTGTTTACCAATTCAATCTGACATAAACACATGACCGTGCTTTGTAAGTATACTAAGAGGATAGTTGTAAGACAACTAGGTCTAGTGTCGCAGTGTCACAGGGTAAGGCTCCTTGGATAGATGGATATTCAGATTAATTTTATAAACTGGATAATGGGTTTGTTTTGTTACATATTTGTCATTTTGTGTCAAAACCAGAATATCCACTTTTAGCCATTTATCATTTTCCAAATTGAAGTTAAGGAACTCAACATATATTATGTTATCAAAATTCGTCTTTTCAGTGTTGGTTACTGTAATGGTAGTTTTAACAAAAAATTAACAGCTGGTCAACAGTAACCTCAATAAACTGGTCTAACAGGTGAAAATAAGACTGCAGTCTTATTGTTGGGTCCAAGATACATCTTTCATGGGATGTTGGCATGTTTCAAGGAAGTTCATGAATGTCCAATCAGAAATTTTTAAAATATTTATACCTGGAAATGTCTTCTCGGTACTTTTGAATGAAAAATGCAACAATTGTTCAACCTGAACATAAAACTAGTCTGACGGACCAGTAAACTATAAAATTACCTGGCTCATAGCAAAATTATCTGGTAAAGGCTAACAGGCAAACAGTAACCCAGTGCTTGGGTGGAAAAAATGTCTTACATGGTATATTGTATACATGTAAGGAGATGAATTGACTGGACTTGATAGCGAAAAGTCTTACCAAACAGTAATTAATGAAAAGTGTACAAGATCCAAATGTTAAGGATTTATTTGTGTAAAAGTGAATCTTTGTGATATTGTACTATGTGAAGAAGAATGAAGGGGAGCATTTCCCTGTAATTGATCTGTATATTTATTTGAATATTAAACCAGATTCTTTTTATTATTAGATTCCAGGTGGTGTGGAGGAGGAGGCAGTGCGTATATTCCTGGAGTTTGAGAGAGTAGATGCTGCGATTAAAGGTTGGTTTGGACAGTGTTTAAACATATTGGTTTAAACAATATTTTATACTGTACATTCAGTAATATTGTATATACATATTTAAATGGTATGGAAAGTAATCAAGTAAAGTCTATTTTTAAATGTTAATAATTATTTTTGTGTTTATTTATAATAAAGATATATTTTTTTCTTAATTTCTGTAGGTTTATGTAAAACAATTTTTGAACAAAGATAAACAAATTATGTACCAATAATATTCACTCTGTGTTATAAAGCAGTTGTTCAAACTTGTTCAAGAAGTATTGTATTAAAAAATTGTTTTAATTTTTCAGCCGTCATTGATCTAAATGGAAGATATTTTGGTGGACGTATCGTGAAAGCTTGTTTCTACAATTTAGATAAGTTCCGAAGGCTTGATTTAGCAGATGAAGTTGAATGACAAGGATGTTTCTTGAGATTGAGTGATTGAATTAGTGTGTGAGAGAATGATAAATGACAATTGTTATAAAATTACAATACCTTTATAAACAACTGTTATGAATTTTACATGTATTGGAAATAGATTGTGTGTCTGCATTTACATTATCTTAGACCTAAAGATAAAAAGTATCATGTGCTATGAATCTTCATGTCTTTTGTCAGTGAAAAAGGAATCATATTATTAAAGTCTTACAAAATACTACCTCTTTTGTTTCCATGCCTCTCTGTATTTTTTAGTTTACTTGTCATCTCTATCTTCGGTTATGGTTCTTGGATAAGATGACATGGGTGGTCGGGTGGCGCAGTGGTCAGGCACTCGCCTTTTACCTAGCCATCCAAGGTTGGATTCCTCTGGAATGGTTGTGAAAAGGTATGAGATCACATGCTCGACAATGCGAGGTACTCTGGTTTCCCTCCACGGTAAGGCCCCATGTGTGCTTCCATCTGGGCCAACAAGTGTTGGAATATCTTGTTTTGCAATTATTGTAAAGTAAATAATGTATAGTAATTTATACTATGACATAAGTTCATGTACCTTGATTGACCAGTACACTTTTACTGTCAATAACATTTATATTTTAGGAAGAATCGGGGAATCTTGGATGTTCTAGCAGCTTCCTATATATAAAATACTGTTCATATTTGCAACCATCATGTTCAGAAAAAAGATGTAGTGACTGGATGTTATATATTGAAAAATAGAACACCACATTAAAATATTGATGTGATACAGCAAAAATATTTCTGAATAAGGCACAGCAAATAAATAAAAAGCCTGCTTTAACCAGAAATTTGACGTGTTTGATAGTTAAACAGTCAAGTACAAAATCAAACGAGCATCTATTTTGCTTTCAATTCATGACTTCATGTTATTGTCCAAATTATGACATGACAATCATTTTCTGCCTGGTACAGCCAATGAAAAATGCTCAAGGGTATATGACAACAGTGACATACACACAAAAATTGATGTGATATAAACGTTTATACATGTATGAATTTTGTCAAACCCAATTTCGAACTTCAGACTGTTTTTTTATTTTTAAATATAATAACATTCAATTCATTGTGAAAGCAAATGGTGAGTCAGTATTTACTAGAAAGGCACACTTTTTCAAGGTAAGTCTGTCGTGTCAAATGGGGATGCGCACAATACTCAGGAACATGCCATTCTTGGGGTTATCATTCCCGAGTTCTGCGTCCGCCATATTGGATTACCTCCCTTCACATAGTTATATGCAAGTCGTTGGTCATACATATATATATATATAAATATATATATATATATATATATATCTGACCCCAAAAAAGTACTTGGGCACTATACCCGAGTGTTTACTATACCCGCAAATTTACAGTAATTTTGTAGACGAAGAAGGAGAGGAAATTACTGTGTAAAGTTTTTAGTCTGCCATCATGAACAGAGAAATAATAAAGGACTGATGGTCTGATGGAATGTTTTGGGGAGCAGTGGACCAGTCCAACTGCAAATGGCCATACCTAACTTAAAACATAGTGCAAGAAATCTAACCTTGATCTTTTTTTAACACCCAAACCTAAAAAGTTATCCCATGCAAGCACTTTCTACAAGAAAGCAACTGTATAAACTGAAATCTGGAGTTGAATAGGCTAAACATAATGCCAATTTTGTGCAAAAACTGGAGCACAACAACTGACTGAAGGAATGGGTGACAGACTGATCGGAAAGGTTTGGTTTATTGCATTTTTATGTCTAATCAACTGCCTGAGTTAAATGTGAAGGATGTGCCAGGTTTGGAGAATGTGGAAAAGACAATGTAAACGGACAACAACCACCAACCTGTGCCCAGTACATGGTGATTGCTTCATTTAGATCTCGACCCCACTTTCCAGGCGTGGAGGGCTAGCAATAAACAGTCAGACGCCTTAACCCTTGTGATGGGCAATAGTGATAACGTTATATCTCTGAATAATTGCATTTTCTGGATAAGTTTTTTATTACTTCATAGAAACATACATATATTGTTATCTTTTCCATAGGTTACAGGTTGATGTATCAGAACCAAACTCAATGTTGTTCAACATTTTTGTGTCTACAACTACAGACGTATATGGCAACATTGCAGTAATGGATAAAAAGTGAAGTCAAATCATCTGTTTAATGCATCTTACTCGGGCATTAGTTGCTGTATTGCTCTTATGTAAGTAAGAGAAACAAATATCAATGTGTATTCCAAAATTATAATAGAAAAAAAATCTGAACCTCTCCAAAAGTTGCTGAGTGAAACATATAGCAAAAATTCAATCTTGTACCAATCATCATTGATGCTGTTCACATTTCACTGCATACAATGGCAGCTTACAAAATGTTCAATAAACAACATCAAAATGTTCAACATATTTTATTGATAAATGGAAACAGGGACACTTTCAGATCAAACAAATAAGATATCTATTGCGCAAGTCTACGGGGATTCTTTTTATCCATTGTAACATACAAGACATAAACATGTAGGGAATATATTACATTACTTTTGAGTATATTTCAAAGAACACCAGACTAGCTGTCAATGCTGAAATATTAAAGACTTCGATAGTTAAACTGATTAAATACAAAATACAACTGTACTTGTAATTACCTTTTTCCTACACTTCCAAATTAATTCACAATTCTAGAAAGGTCAATAATTATTTTATATATCAGGAAATTTAATTACACAATGTGCCTGGTAGTATATGAAACTGTAACCTCATTTATCACATTTAACTGATAGAGTAACAACACACAGAAACACAAAGACAAGAAGTTTTAAATGATTTGAAATAAACATTCATACAACGTATATGATAAATATGATTTTTACCGATGACTGGTAAAATGTTTTCTTGTACATAAGTCATTTTTAAAACATCTCTTAATGAAACACTCACATCTGTACTGTAAATTCTTAAAAGGTTTTGTGATTTATGTAACATTCATATGTAATTAAAATTGCAATACACATCCATCTACTTTCATTCTCTGGCTACACACATCTCAATGAAAACAGAAATATGATTTTTTTTCATTTTTTTTTTTTTTTTTTGAGTGAATTTAATGCAAAAACTTTCTCAACATCACTTTTATACAAGATGATTCTTTCCATAGTTTTTATGTTTTCATTGAAATTCCACTATTAAAATAGTTTCATTAAATTCCATTCATTAAAAGGTAGAAAATATTAAAGCATTTACATGGAAATATAGAAATTCTTTAAATCAAAATTTCTTGAATCCAAAACATTTCCATCATACCCAGAAGAGCAAGCTTAGATTACTGTGAAGTTCATCTTGACACACATTTCATTTTTGAAAGATATATACCTTAAAATTTTTATACTGATATATTGATATCATATCTAATTCCAGCTCTCAAGATAAATCATTCAAACAATATTTGAAATTTTATGGCAATCTGGTGTAATAAAAATAAAACAATAGAAAGCATTGTTTGGAAACAATACATTAATAATTTACCAGTGCATAAGCTACAAAAAATCTGAAACTCTTTACTTCTTGAGAAGTTTACAAGATTTTCGTCATACTGCTGTCTCTCAAACAACTTTGTAGTCTAAGCACTCTTGTATATACAATCACATGGAGCAGAGCAGATCAACATATATATTACTTGATCAATATCCAATTCTTTAAGATAAAGCATTCCTATTCTGTATTAAAGTTTCAATTTCTTCTGTTAGTTACAATGTATAGATACTTGTAAAAGAAAAAACAATTAATCCACACAGTATTGTCCAGGTCTTTCAGAAGTCCTGCCTTTGTCATTATGCTTTAATTGTTAATACTTAATTTAGAGAGTATGTAAGGACAATCCACATGTTTAATCATTAGAGATGTTCTCTTGAGGTTGTATCAGAAGAGATACTGGTCCTTCTCTATCTGAGAGATATCTTCCTGAAGGCTTCCTCTATCTGTTGGAAGGTCATTCTGATAGTCTGTAAAATGTCCTCATCAGGGAATCGATATTTTGTGTGTGGATCCTCTTAAGAGCCTGTGAAAATTTCCTCCTGTGGATGTTATGAGAATCTATGTGTGCTGTCCTGCAGAAAGACTCTAGAAGTGTATTAATGGTTTGTAAATACATCTGTATAGGTTCTCTGAGATGTGGTCTCATGAAGATATCTGCCCCTAAGGATCAGGAAAATTTCATCCTTGCCATCTTTGATTATCTGTGTCTGCTCCATGTAACCTTATATGGTGGTATACACTCGGTCTGGATTCCAACTTGGGATTCAACAGAGCAGAGTGTTTACCTTCCTCATCCTCCTCCACCCATTGGCGGAGCACTCGGACCTCCTGTAACAATTCACAGACAAACATGATCATGATAATTGTGACATACACTATTTACATACATGTACTGATATTTTACTTGCTAATGAACACTTGCTAATGTACATTCATTAGCATAAATCTCGTAATAACAATTAACTACAGGTTTGTTACTCAAAGAGTACAAGTGGTAGATTATAATGAACAAATGGTTGCTATTTATTATCCACAAGTATACAACCTAACCAGCTTTCAATACCTAAATCGGTTATGATCAGAACAAAATAGATGATATCACAGCATTGCACATTTTTAACAAGAGATCCCAGAGGGATCTTGGTGCCCACCATTGTTTAATCTTTATTTGTTCTTCGAAGGTTGGATCTTATCCCTTCTTTTCTCTTCTCTTCTATGTTTTTATGCTTATGAATAAGAGATTTGAACATTCCTTTGCAGACAAAGTGATAATAATCTTTAAATGCCAAATCCAAGATGATTGCCTGGAAGTCATCTTGTTTTTTCTGATCAGTCCCAAAATCAAATGGGCACAGCTAGGGACCAAGAGGAACCTATGTAAAGGGTCGAAGGAGACCGGACACATGACATTTGAGAAATATCTATGCTGTAGTTCTCAAGAAATAACGAGACCTCCTGTTGTTTTCTCGATCAGTCTCAAAATCAAATGCGCACAGTACTACTAGTGACCAATAGGAACCTACAATGAAATCTGAGAAAGATCTATGCAGTTAGTTCTCAAGAGTTAGGGATTACAAACTTTCAAAGTTGAAATCCAAGATGGCCTGGAAGTCATTTTATTTTTTCTGATCAGTCTCAAAATCAAATGGGCACAACAAGGGAGCAAGGAGAACCTACATATGAAATTTGAGAGATGCATCCAGAGCTTCTCAAGGAATAGCCATAACAAACTTCATTGAAAAAAATTCAAGACGGCTGTCTGTAGGCCATTTTGGTTTTCTGATCAGTCCCAAAATCAAACAGTTACTACTTGGGACCAAGGAGATGCTACAGATGAAATTTGAGAGAGATCAATTATGTGCTTCTCAACAAATAATGATAACAAAAATTGTTCACAAATGAACAAACAACAGACAGCCCACACACATAGGGCGATTTAAAAAGCCCATTATCTGATGACGGTGGGCTAAAAATCTTATATATGAGTCGTGTGCAGACTTTTATTGTTCTTAAGTGTGTACATATTGAGACAGCATGCACAGCCAGCAATGTTTTGTTATCAGCTGAATTTTTTGCTTCAATGTTGCACTTTTTGAAAATCTCAAGGATACACTTACCTCCTCCACCTCTAAATCCACCCATTCTTCTCCTTGGTGGTTGTGGGGGACTGGAGAAAACAATGTCATATTCAGTAATGTTATCATTTTATAAAGATTCACGACAAAATAAAATTTCATGTGTGAGTGGAAAATAAATGTAGGGTTTAATGCTAGCGTTATTTCTTTTGTGAATCACAGTATTTGTCAGAATAAAATTTAAGTTATTACATGGTAAATCATAAGATGAAATGACTGTCCTGACCATACTGTGAAATCATTAATTTTCTGGGGGATTTATTTGATGATTTCGAGGGTACTCTTAATGTACTCTTATGGTACTTTCTATGAAATTTTACAGTATACAGATTATTGAGACACGGATCTGAATTCCAAGCAGATCAGCTGCTTACATGACCTTCAAACCTACTGTTAGTGTTAAAGTCTAATACTGCTATTGGTAATAAGTGCAATAAAAATAGATTTATATAACCTGTCCATAAATGGCAGTGGTTAAACTTTCATTTAGGTTGATCATTCAAGTATGCAGGTGCAAGTAGTACTTTTTCTCAAAAGACCATGTCTATAAAACATTACTGCTCCTGCTCGAATAATGCACAATACAGATTATAAGTGTTTGAAAAAATTCTAGTGTGGCAGTTTTTAATTGTACCTAAGAATATGGCCATCTTCCAATTTAACACGGAAGTGACTTTACTTTTAAATTAGTTTGATTGTTTGAGCAATAGACTCCTATGCCATGGCACACTACTCCTTTTCTGTTACATTCTATTGACTTTTTCATATATAAATGTAAGAATAATTCCAGGACTAATGCTGAGTGATTATATGTGTAATAGCTAGGGGAGCTCTAACAAAGCTAAACAATACAAAGTGATGTTACAGTTACTAATTGATTACTCAGAGATGTCTAAAACATGCTATGGTCCATTATTTAGTTTTTAACTTATTCCATAGCAGATTTTCTATAACTATAAAACAGTGAAGTGCTATTTCAAGTATTTCCCTTGTACACATTTGTGTGCCATCTATATTACTTACCCCTGTCCTGAGCGGTAATCTGATGTATAAGAATTTCCCTTCTTTGTCAAATTAGGCTGTAAATAAAATGCAGTATATATTGTACATAGAAAAAACAAGTTATCATTTTAATATTTTTGGGTTAGTAAAAATAGAGTATCTTATTAAACCCAGTAATAACATTTATGTGTGATATTTTCATGACTACAAGATCACCTTCACACATTGAGGCACACAGTGTATGAGAGAGTATTGAATCAATGTGACATTTTGGCTTTACGACAATCCTTTCAACATTACGATAGAAAATAGTGTGACAAAATTTCTAACTGTACAATATTATTACAACATCCTGTATGAGCTGGGTTTGTCTAGCAACAAAGGATGTTTAATGGATACTTACTGACACTAATGTCTGGAAGCTGGAAGGAATAACAAAAATGCAATGTAATATTTATGATGATATTGTTAATTTATAATCAGTTACAGACAGTAAAACAGTTGTCATTACTCATATGGATCTGGTGTAGTAAGAAGATATGAAACTTTCAAACAATTATCAAGAAATAATTAATGTGCAATAAGTTCACAAATTTGTGGTATGTTTAACAAGAGAAAAACATTGATAACAAGGGTTGGTCACTATGATTTTCCATAAACAGTTGGCAGTAGTGAGATCAAATCTACCAACAGAAACCTGGATATGGTTTATTTAATTTTATATTTCTGTATAACAACTACTTTAATGTAGCATAAATGGGTTTGTTGAAAAGAGAATGAGCTACATATCAAATTGTCATTGGACCTGCATGTGTTATTATGAACTTTTAAGAAAATCTCTCGATGGAAGTTTATTATATATTGATCATTATTTCATACACAGGTAATTGCTTTTCTTATTATGCAATTATGATTTTAAAAATTAGTACTTACAACAGAACAATAAAGTTGACTATCCCCCAAAACATTTCTGGAATATAGGACAGTCTCCATGGTGACTGTGATTCCATCACATTACCTTTAAAAATGAAAACTCATGCAATAAGATATAACGTGTGTGATAAATGGTATATTCAAGCATCTCATTCAGAGATAAGTTTCAATATGGTGACAATGTACATGTTACTCAAAAATTCTTGTCCCAAGTGAGCAATAAGACAAAGTCCTTCAAAATGTGAGTATAATTGTAGTTTGTCATGGAAATATATTTTGCTGGCTCATTTGGAGTGATTTAGTTTTCCTACTCTAGCGAGAAGTTAAAATGTATTACTCCATGTACATGTATTCAGTTTGTACAATCACTGGTTCATGGCCCTAATGACCTTATATGTGTTGATGGGCCGTTAAGAATGTAATAATGATAATAAAAAGTTTGTCCATGTATATGTAACCCTGGTAAAATACTAGTTGCAATATACCATTCAGCTAGAGAGAACTTCTCTTTAGCTCGATTGGTTGAGTGTCAGACTAGTAAGCCAGAGGTCCCGGGTTCGATTCCTAGTGGAGGCATTGAAATAAATGATGACCTCTGTTACATCGGCGCCCATGTAGGGACCCGGGAATAGAACCTAGCCATGCCCCACCAGCATCGCTGTAACTCCTGTAAACTTGAAGACGAGTTATTTCCTGGAGGGGGAGTATGTAACCCTGGTAAAATGCTAGCCGCAATATACCACTTGGGTAGAGAGAACTTCTCTTAAGCTCGATTGGTTGAGCGTCAGACTAGTAAGCCAGAGGTCCAGGGTTTGATTCCGAGCGGAGGCATTGAAATAAATAATGTTACATATATATAATGAATGATTATGCTAAATATCCGAATTTTGATTGGGCAATTTAGAAAAGTATAAATAATTTGTCCCGGGGCTTGTATGTTGATTATGAATCACTGTTGTAGATAGTGCAAGTTAAAGGTAGTCACTGCATCAAATCAGACATTAAGAAGCGGAAAATAAATACGCTGAATTTTCATTAATGGTTCGATATCGATGTAATCACAAGGGTTTGTCGAGATATTTACTTATTGCTATTGATTATGATGTGTGGTGTACTCTGGGGTCTAGGGGAAGGAAGGCGGGTGGGAATAGGGGTCAGCTTTAGAATGCATAAGACCCCGATTAAAACGCCTGTAGTTATCATATATTTACTTCTGAACAAATGAATGCCAGTCAACGCCTGAACATTACATCAGACAATCAGGGACCTAATTTTTGTCCAGTTTTATTTTGCATCAGTGGTAAACTGAATTTTTTCAGTATATATAATTATTAAGATACTAAATATGCTCAAACTGTGAGGAATTCTTTCTCTAAATGTCCGTGAAAATCACGGACTTTTTAACGTTTGTCTTACCTTGTGACACGTAAACCATCTTGTTTATTTTTCGTCCTGTCACATGTCGTAGTCAATTTAACGCTTAAATTTATAAAGTGAGACGCTAGCAATTCAAGTGTTGAAATGACTGCGATCAAATAGCTTCAGTTAGGCAAATGGATCTACTACGCATGAGTTTAGTTCGGTAGATGATTTTGCTTTTAGGTTTAAATATACAAAATGTATTCGCCACTCCTAGTTTTGAAGGGAAACTTTTAAGTTTTACCCAAGTCCAAAATGCCTGTGTAAGGGTTCGAATGATCGTGTGACTTGGCCTTAGGTCTAAACAAACACGGACGTGGTCTGACATACTCATATTTTGAAATTACGTACACGTATTGATCTTAAGTGTGTACATATTGGGTCAGCATGCACCCATTCTTCTCCTTGGTGGTTGTGGGGGACTGGAGAAAACAATGACATAGTCAGTAATGCTATCATTTTATATAGATTCACGACAAAATAAAATTTCATGTGTGAGTGGAAAATAAATGTAGGGTTTAATGCTAGCGTTATTTCTTTTGTGAATCACAGTATTTGTCAGAATAAAATTTAAGTTATTACATGGTAAATCATAAGATGAAATGACTGTCCTGACCATACTGTGAAATCATTAATTTTAGCGAGGGAGCTCTAACAAAGCTAAACAATACAAAGTGATGTTACAGTTACTAATTGATTACTCAGAGATGTCTAAAACATGCTATGGTCCATTATTTAGTTTTTAACTTATTCCATTGCAGATTTTCTATAACTATAAAACAGTGAAGTGCTATTTCAAGTATTTCCCTTGTACACATTTGTGTGCCATCTATGTTGCTTTCCCACGACCTGACTGGTAATCTGATATATAAGATTTTTCCATCTTCGTCAAAATAGGCTGTAATTCTTTGTACCTAGAAAAAACAAGTTATCCTTTCAATACGTTTGGGTTAGTAAAAATACAGGTTCTTATTACCTCACAAAATTCTACATGCAGATGTGACATTGTGATAACGAAGTCGCCTTCACGCATTGAGGCACACAGTGTATGGGATAGTCTATCCATACTTGCCAACTTTTTGAAATTCTCATGGGGGAGAAAAGTACGTGAACGACATTTTCAACTCGGTCGCTCAGTTTCGCGTTATCAGGAATAACCACATCAACATGAATTTGCATAATCCAGTTCTGTTTTATCCTGCAATAAGCCCATGCCATATAATAAGCCCATCCATGTCTTTTTCAGAGATTTAAAAATTCTTTGCCCTACATAAACTATCCCTGCATTCTGCAACAAGCTCACCCCCACATATTGTTCAATACTATCATAGTATTGAAATGACCTTTTCATTTCAGTAATAATTACCATAACTTTAGTTGAAGTTGTCTTTAATCTATTTGAAATAGTGTTTGCATATGTGCAAAAGGAATAGTTGTTTGTAACTGTCTTTGTCAAAAGTCGCTTGTTCTATACACTCAGTGATCTTTGAAAGGGATTGGAATGTTTATACAAGTCATTATGACGTTACTTGCTCGTTACAACTATATACATGTATATTTTGTTACATTGTGAAGGCCAATGTGTTAATTTGAGATAAATCTGGAATAAAAACATGTTCACTTGAATTATTTTTAGCTTTGCTGTTTTGTTTTGATGTAACGTTGATACTCTTTGTGTGAGATGCAAAAATTCCATATAGTCAAAAGTTTATGCAGTCATGCAATCGCTTACTATTCAACAAAAAAAAAAAAAACATGGCAGACTCATGTACCCGACCCACTACCCACACTGTTATACTGACTCCAGGCCGTTCAGTTCCTTGCTCCTTGAAGTATTAATGTGTTAAGGAGGGAGCTAAACGTCTTTGATATGACACGGCTGATGGGGATCATCATAATGTGTATGCATACAAAAAGTGAGGTAACTGGCATTTTAGCCACATGCAAGGTTTGATGGCATTCTAACCATTACTCTAATCATAACTGAGACTATCATCGGAAAACAAAAGTGCTGACGTCCGTACGTCCCGCCGTCCGGATGGACAGACGGACCGACGAACATGGTGATTCCTATAGGGCTTCCGCATCTCGATGTTATCGCCATTTCTTAAGAGGTACTGAATGGATTTCTTTCAAATTTCATATGTAGATTTCCAATGGTCCCTAATTGTGCCCGCTTGATTTTGGGACTGATCAGAAAAAACCAAAAAGAAGGGAATAGATCCAACATTCAAAGAACAAATAAAGATAAAAATTCTGATAGAGGATTCATATCATAGAAGACGGATGATAGAAAGATAATGAAATAACAATTTTCAAATAAAGGACACATTTGGATCAAACATGAAAGTGAAAAATCTGATAAAAATGACAGCAGAAGCCTGTGGTCCATGTCCAAGTAAAGGTCCAACCAAGACATATGCGTTTGTGGCTATAGAAACCTCACATTACAGCCCATAGGTAAATATATTACATGATAGTGAAACAGAATAGATTATCAAAAAGTCCGCGCGGATAAGTAAAAAGGAGATAAACTCAGATTTGTGAAGTAAGTAAATGAATAAGTAAATAATAAAGCGAGTTTCATTAAAATTTCTGATGTGCGGCAACTTTGATTTAAAAAAGAAACCTCGGAAATTGATCAATATGTGTACGGCCTTGAATTCAAAATATGGGTATGTCAGACCATGTATAGAGTCCGTTTTTTTATTAGAAATAAGGCCTTTGTTGCTAGACAAACCCGGCTCATACAAAATGTTGTAATACTGTCGAACATTTAGAAATTTTGTCACGTTATTTTCTATCGTAGTGTTTAAAGGATTGTGGCAAAGCCAAATTGAGGTTTTTTAATGTAAAACCAATTTTCATGATGTAATACTTACCATAACTTTAGTATGCAAATACAGTACCTACACCCATCTTTGTATCCCAACAACAAAAGATTCAAAAGAAAAACAATCCCGCCCTCCCTACGATCCATGAGCCATCACGGCAGGAACGCAGAGTGATCTCCCTTCCTCTTACCTTTATGGCTGCCGACGAGTGCGGAGGTGTCTGAGCTAAGTGCTTTTCTTACTCCTTCTCTTCGTACTGCCATTGTCGTTTGAGTATATTGTTACTCTATTAGTAGTCTATAAACCCATCTCCCAACTTATATTGTGAAATTAAGTATTGTCATTTGTTTATTTTGACCGTATTTCCGGCCGTTTTTTCCTCCACGTATTCGAGTGCGTGACTACTTGTCTCGTTGCTCGGATTTGCGTGAAGTTGGAATTTGTTTTCTTGCTGCTTTGTCGGCCGTGTTGTACGGCCGTTTTATTTATGCAGTGCAATCTTGCTGCGTACGGTAGGCTTTGTGCTCTCGTTCGTAGTTTTTTTATTGTTCGAGAACTTCGTTTCCGGCCGTGTTTTTCCTCCGCGTGTTCGAGTGCGTGACTACTTGTCTCGTCACTCGGATTTTCGTGAAGTTGAAATTGTTTTCTTGCTGCTTTGTCGGCCGTTTTGTACGACCGTTTTCTTTTTTTGCAGTACAATCTTGCTGCGTACGGTAGGTTTTATGATCTCGTTCGTAGTTTTTTTTTTATTGTTAGAAAACTTTTTATCCTTGTTTTCATTGTTACAATTTTTTATTGTTTCGATGCTGGATAAAGGTGCCGGGTTTACGTCGGGGGTCAGCGCATGGATGTTCCTATTTCTATAGATAATGGGAACCCCATGATACCTGTCCCATTTGCCGACATTACAGCCAGACCTCACTATGTGAACTTTGTTTGCACATGGAGTCTGCTGCTTAGGCTCCCATGCCTTTCCAGCTAACTTTCCGCCGGAAGAGGGATTCGTCCTCTTCTTCCGGTAAGGGAAGTAAGCTTTTTAAGACCTCCCTCCTGAAGTTCTGAACCAGAGCGTTCCTGCTGGGGGTGCTCTCGTTCCACCGAGCTCCGCCCTTCAGCAGGGGGTGGCTCCCCCTGTCCAGGTGCGTCCTGGAGTAGGGGGGGGGCAGCCCGACCCTGACTCGGCGCAGTCAAGGGTCGAATTGGCCGGTAGCTCTCGATAGGCGGCGGTGTTACCGTCGGAAAGGGACTTCCGGTCGAGGTCTCTGATTCCTTCAGGGACCTCGGCACGCCAGGTGGCGTCGTTGGTGGGGGCCGCTTTGACTCCGGAACTGTGCCTTCGGGTATAGGTTCAGGGGCCACAGACTTTTTGTCAGGATTGTCTGTGGCTACGGGGATTAGTGACACTTGAGTTCACTAATCCTGGTGTCAGCGCGGGGTCTGTTTTCCCACCCTCACAGGCTTCTGGCTCTGGGACTTCCGTCCCAATCCAGATTTCCCAGTGCAGGGTTTCCCAGGGGATTTTCCTCCAAGGGTTTGGGGCTTCAGGCAAGGAGTCCGGTTTCCGGTCTCCCTTTCCCCCGGGCTCAGGGAGTAGGGGTGCCTGCGGGCACTTATTCCTGGGTCGCCCAGGCCAACCTGCGGATGGTTTTGGGTACCAAAAGTTACTCAGCAGTTACGGGCTTAGCCCGTACATGTCTGGGTTTCCACCTGGTGGGAGTGGCGGTTCATCCTGGTCCTTTGGACAGGATGTCCAGCCCCAGACTCAGGCAGGCCATCTTGGCCAGTTCTGGGGTCACTCCCGGCCCGCTGGACCGTTCCCATTCCCTCAGGGGTTTGGGTTTTTACCCCATGGGTCTTCACTCGTGGAACCCATAGGGGTTGGTCTCTCCTCTAGGAGATGTTATAGCAGTGCGGAATCCCCCCAATGTTCTGCTACTTCGGGGGCCTTGTTGGCCGGTCCTATAAAGGTTTGCCAGACCTTAAGGACTTCCGCCTCCAGCGCGGACACGTCGGTCTCCTGTTCCCAGGGGTCGGCTTCGGGTCTCCGACCCAAGCCTACAGCTACAGCTGTTGGTCGCGCTGCGTCCAAATGCCATAAAGAGGAGTTCCCCTCTGCGGAGATGGCTCCTCTGGCGGCCCCTGTTCCTCCCAAGGGGACTTCGGTCTCTATTGAGGAGGAGATGGACATCGAGGGTGCGGGCTCGGCAGAGGAAG